TAAGGTGTTCCTCATTCTTTCTGAGAACGATGATGACGTTGTTTGTTTCTCAGTCCCGCCTGCCATCATAGTGTTGTCTGTTGGAGATCATCTAGTTGCCGCTATTTCAGTTGAGATGTCGGACAGTTCCGACATCTCCTCTCGATCCAATGTCCCGGTGGAAGTGGCAAAATCATGGCCTTGTTCTACCGGAGTAGATTCACTCGCCAGATTTCTGCCTCTCCCTTCCAGTCCATGTACTTCCTGGTTGTCATTCATGACCTGGTCTGTATTGACCTCCACTACCAACATTTCTTTTCTCTCTTCTGAGGTCTTCTGACTTCTCGTCTCAACCATTCTGCCTGAAACTGTCTCCCCTTTGTCGGTCCGGGCTCGTTTGATCCAATCCACAAAAGGATCGGTAATCGTTTTTCTTTGCTTTTTAGGTATGAATTTCCTAGAGCGATCACCTCGTTTAGGTATCCTTGACTTGTCTAGACTCATTCTCAATCTGTCACTTCTTAATGCCTATACACTCAATTCGATTGCTAGTGACCTTATGGTTTTACTAACAATAATAATGACACAACACAACAAATTTCACAAGATTCTATAAAATAGTGACCTCGAATCCCTGTATGTTATCAGAGTACAATTTGTGTATAATTTATTCACACTCACCAATTATCGATCGTAAGATTTGAGAACTAGCACAATATGATGTTATCAGTCAATTTAAAAGATAGTAAACTCACTACCCAATCAAGCACAAATTATATTGATTTAAAATCAAAAACAAAAAAAATGTATATTGACAGAATATGAATACCTCTATTTAAAAAAAAACGTATGTGGATTGTACTTTTAGTCGGTGGCGGTACAATAGTCGAACTTGTCTTTTAAAGAAAAAACTTTCCCTGCTTGGTGCTGCACCAAACAGACAAAACTTTGAAGGCAGTAATTTTCTCAAGTGGGCGTCTATTGCACCCACCGAGTACTGTGTTACCTATCTGCCTTCGGACTGCCCGAGCTAGACCTACTAAAATCCTCAGGGCAGTCACTTTTCAAAAAAACGTATTGGGTTTCAATCTACACCAATGAATTACGCTCTTTTTAGTTTAGACTTAGTGTAGCGAATATCCGAGTTCGGACCTGTTTTGTTTTGGTCTGGTTTTTATTGAAAGGCAAGTTACCAGTGCAGTCACTGATTCCTAGCATGTCTGCTAATAACCTAATACCTCTCACTGTAGTCTTTCTTCCGTCTACCTAAGTCCTTCAATAAAATAATACCCCTCCTGATTGGCACAAATAGGACCCTTCCGGACTAACAAAATTTAGACCCCTCCGGATTGGGACCCCTCTGAGTTAGTAAATATATGACCCCTCCGGATTGAGACCCCTCCTGTTTGGTGAAAACAAGACCCTTCCGGATTGAAACCCCTCCGAATTCGAAAAAAAATTTTGGACCCCTCCGGATTGGGAGCCTTCTGGTATTATAAAAGTAGCTTTTCGGAGATTTCCTTCTTTCAACCTATACCCCTCCGGATACGTTTTCCGATGCTATTTTGCTTTTTCTAATTAACTAGGAAGTATGTAATGCTTTCCTAGACACTTCCGGATTGATGTTAAGCCTCTTATTTGACAATTCACGCTAACGGTGAAGGGTCTTCTCGCTAGCCTAACTTCGGCTCGATTAAGGTTTTCTTGTGCCTTTAGCCTTCCCTTTTCGTCTAGAAGAGCCTAAAGTTACTTTATTCAACCGCTATTACTTTCACGCTTACGTTTTTGAAAAACTTTTGTCCCTATCAGTAAGCTCGGCTAACTTCTGATCTATCGGTACCAAGATCAAGTGGATCTGTCCAGTAGTTCCAAAGTTATTAACCAAAATGTCTTTTTTCTTAAGTCAAAAAATTGTCTCTCTTATAGGTTCCGATTAACTTTTTCCGCAATGCTGTTCTTTTCGACCTGAAAATTATTGATCCGAGCTCAGAAGGCCTATACTCTTCTAGTTCAATGCAAAAGAACCGATCTAAAACGCTTTAGTTGAAAAAATTTGCGAAAAACTATGCTACCTGTACCCCTCCGGATTGATGAATCCACCAAATCAAACACGTTAAGTTCGATTCCTCTGCAACCCGGAAGGCTTTCGGGTAGCGGGTTTTAACACTCGTAGATTCACTAGTGGACGTTGTCCGTACAACTATTTTTACTGTTCTAACTCAAAAGTTTCAAAAAATTTTCTGAATTTATAGTGTTCCGTCTTCTCAAAAATCACGAAAATTCGGTTCTTGGTTCCAAAATAGTTCCAACCACTTCCCAACTAAACTTAACCGGTTCTATCTACTATATTAGTGCAGTTACGATGTAACACACTAATTTAGCGTTTTTCCGTTTCAAAAATATCGATATCTCAAAAATCGCGTTTTGTGATGGATCAAAGAATCGCTATTTTGACCCTAAAAACCGGTCTACTTTCTATGTTTTTCACTGAAAAACGGTATAGGAGTATTAATATAGGCTATATAAATAATATATTAGTAATACTATACCCCTCCGGGTTTGTTTAATATCCGAATTAAGGTGCTTAACTCGGATAATCGCAGTTCGGTGAAGGGTCACTACAGTGCAGCACTGTCGAGCCCCCCACAGATTACTATCTTAATTTTTGTACAAAAAGGGATACAAAACTTGTTAACGATACCCAACAGTCGATTGTTGTTGTCTTTGTGCCCCTTCTTGTTGCTCCTTGTACTGCTTGCCGGATCAGTCTTCTCCCAAGACCCTTCCGAATTGAGCGCAAATCAGCTGACCCTTCCGGATTGAGCGCAATTTATCATTAACGTGCTTAAATGCTCAAATAACCCTACAGTACAAGCCTCACAAACGGGCCACAAAATTGATCATAACAATTCTGAATGATATAAATGCCTGTAACAACAATATATCTATCAACAACAAACGGGAGGGTCGAATCACATCTTGTCTGGGGGATGATTTCTAATGATTTTTTACTTTTTTTTTTTACTGTTTTTGGTTTTTTCGGTTATTTTTTTATGGTTTTTGTTTTTCTTGGGTACTATACTACTTTTTGTTTGGTTTTATATATATCTTTAAGTGTTTTTGGTCACAAACCTCTCAGGGAACGAGGGAATGGCCGATACCCCCACCCTTCCTGATTCGTGAATTTTCTGTCTTAACTAGGTTAAAAAGCTATTCACGGTAATCCGGAAGGCTTCCGCGTTCCGAACTACCCTTCCGCCCTGGCGGTTTTGGCCTATTAAGGGCGTTAATGTGAGCATCCGCTCGGCGCGGTGTGCTCGTCAACGGTTCTTCCGGTCATGATGTTAAAAAAGAATAACACCCAGGAGCGCCATTAAAACATCTATGTAACATTCGCCCGGTAGATACATATCGACGGAAAATAAAACTAAGTCCTAAGACGACTGGCTAACGTCTAAACAGAGCTTTACATGTTTTTAACCGTCTCTACCAAGCCAATACTTTCGGTGGTCTTTCTAACATCGGGTCGACAAAAACGTTACTGCTTTCGGCTTCGGTCAAAACACTCAAATTAACTTAATTACATGCAGAAATAGTGAGCTCATGGCTGGGTCTCAGTATCCCCAGACCACGAGGTCACTCCTAAAATCAGAGCTACTACTACTAATTGAATTATTATTGTTTTTGTTCAGTAGATAAAAATCATCATCTCCATCGAAGATGGATCAACCCTTTTCCCCAACTCCTAGCTTCTCATCTTAGTAGAATGAATTCAGATGTTAATTAAATTCAAATCAGGACATAATAAGGAAGCTAAAAGTCTTTATAAATTAATAAAAGTTCCAGTCCCGAGACCCCTCCGGATTCCTGAATCCGGGGAAATAAGGCTCTTTTTCTCCTTCCGGAAGGCTGGTTTTCCATCCTTCACCGTTGTTCGCAACGGATTTGCAACTATTGTAGCGACACAATAGTTGAAACTCGGAGCGGTCTCTGCTACTTCTACAATTTGTAGTTGTTTCTCAGTCACAATCTCCGTGGTTAACGCTATCGCAACTAATGTTGTTGGGTTTTTTCTTCGACTTTCTGCCAAAAACGCCGTTTCTGACGTTTCTCAGAAATATGACGTCATACTTCGAATTTTTAAAATTTCAAAACACCAGAATATCTTGAACTTCACTGTTTGACTAATCGTCCCAATAACGTCGTTAATCGCTTAAAACCGTCAATTCGGAAGGTTCGCTGCTAAATTTCCGAATCTGCTGAATCTGAATTTTGATCCATTCTGGTCGAATGTCACATGAGCCAACGATTTATTACATTAATTTTCCACTCTTCAAACAGAAAACTAAGCTGCAGAATAATGACCGCCGCAGTCGCGCCAACGTGTAGCGAGCTTGCCAACAGAGGGAAGGACTATACGAAAATTATAGCCAGTTATCGCCGCAAAGCGGCGACGCTCGCGTAGCGCGCCCACCGGCGACCTTAAACCGAGAGCTTAAAATAGTCGGCTTAGTAGTCATTGGCCAATTGGATTTTTTGGTACTAACGCGATTGATTTTTTATTTTGGTACAAATGGGACTGATTTATCATTTTGGTACTTGTGAATAACCACCGTTTTTTTTGTTTGTTCTATCGCAAGTGATGCGAAGCTCCGCTTCGCCACAGTTGAATTTTGTTTTTAAGTACCCTATTAAGTCTGAGATAAAAAGTTCTATCGAAAGAATAGTTTGCGAGAATTTTCCTGCAGACTTGGTTACTCCTTAATTTTTGTATGAGAAATGTTATGATTTTGGGAAAATTCCAAATTTCCTCTCACTTGTTTTAGTAGAGAAACAACTAACGTTTTGGGTAAAATCCAATTTTTTGAAATTATGCATTTCGTCCCGCAGCAGTATAACAAATTCAAAAAATATCTACCACGTACCTCCAGCTTTAGCTGGGACCCTGGTGTCCTTCATCGAGACACGAAAATTTAGGTTCACATAGTTTTCAACAATTTTTATTTTGTTCGACCTATGTTCTTATTAAATTGCTTTGTGTTTTTAATCATCGCTCCGCTTCGCCGCTGTGAGAAAAATTATTTTGCAATGTATCTGTTTTTAGCTATTATTATTTGGATCAGAAAAACTTGAATTAATCAAATATAAAAACAAAAATAAAGCGTTAACGCTATCGTCTAAAAATTATAAATAGAATATCTCATCAAGTTTGTCATAGACTCTAATCGTGCCCAAAACGAGGGCGGCATTGGCTGATTGTATAGCCATTGAAAGCCGCTGTCTAAGGAACCCTGAGGCTCGGTCGTCGTTTGTAAGGGATTTAATGAGCCTTCCGATCTTTTTGATAAAGGAGGACGTGTTCTTACTGCACTGTCCTTGTGTTGTGAAAGCAACAGCTTGGAAAATATGTCCTCGCCTTGTGAGTTCTTCATACTTCGCGTTCTTTAAGGTTTCTGCAGACTCAGCTGTCCCAGAGGGATCTCCCCTAGAGGGTGCAAGGGCATCAACAATAGTTGCATCCCAGACAAGCGTTTGTCCTCTCTCCAACGGAACTAAAGTAGCACCGTCTGGTCTCTTGCCGTCAGACCGACACATTCCAAGGGGTTCCAGGACGGAAGGGTAACCCGCTAGGGCCAATGTTCGTTTGATAATGTTGTTGACCATTGTGTGTCTGGCGTGCCGGCCAGCACTTTTCCGGCATGAGAGACCATGAAGGCCTGAATTGTCTACAGTCGAGCCACAAACACAACGGTGTGTGGCACAGACTGGACTGCCTAAACGAGTGGCGACGGCAATTCTCAATTGACTGTCTGTTAACTTCAGCCCTAGAGCTTGCGATGGAAGCGCGTTAATCCATGCTGCTGCTTCCTTGCCTTGAAAGGCCATTAGTCTCTTTCGGTTGTTGTTGTCTACCAAAGTGAGAGTGGTAGCTAGCATGTGTTTAAAGGCGGGACCTGTCCAATTGATTTGAACGTGTGGATGGACGGGCCCATCGACACAGTTACTCTGTTGTTGCCACTTCTCAAAAGCCTGTCCGATCGTGACTGGAACATTCACCAATCCGTCTGGTAGGATAGAGGCAATAATAGTCCGGCAACTCTCCGCTGAAGCTAAATACGCAGATGGTGCAGTGATAAATGCCGAACTAATACCCAAGCCTCCCAGAGTGGATGGCCAATGTAACTGAGAGGCAGACATATGATCTAGAGTGATGTTGAAGATTTCTTCCACTGATTTCTGGAGGGTGTTGTCGTAATTTTGAAGGAGCTGCTCGTATAGAAAACAAGGGGCTGTACGAAGGAAATATAGGAGTTTGGGTAGCGCAAACGAGTTCTTTATCATAAAAAGGGCATGGTGGGCTTCCAATTCTCCGAGTCTAGAACGCATTCTCTCCAGGGACTCTGTTTTCTGTCGTATACAGTCCTCTATAGCTAATTGTCCAATCGGGGCTCCAAGGATAACGAGGTCTTCGATGTTCGTAACTTCGGTAAAGGGACTGATAGTCCGGAAACGGTCAAGGATTTCTTGTTGACGAGTTATGGATGGCTGTCCAAGAAAGGTTATTTCGCATTTTTTCGAGTGTATCTCTAAACCAAGCTTCTTCGATTCCTCGATGATCCTGCTAAAATTCCACAGGACACGCTGTCAATTGCCTGCGATGTTTCCGTCATCCAGGAACCAGATGTTGAGTTCGGTATCCACATTTCCCACCATATCATTGATCGTATCAGAGAAAACTGGTGGTCCTTCCGGGTCTCCTTGTTGTGCACCTTCATCGGAACTGATGGTGAAGTTGCCGTAGAATAATTTGGATGGTTGCCCATACGCAGACTCGGTGTACTTAAAAATAGAGGGTCTCTCTAAGGCCACTTTGTTGAGGATTTATTATTATTATATTCGTAACCAATCTGCAGTTTGAACTAATTTCTTTTTAACATACCTTTTACTGTTTTGATGCTGCGGCTAGTTTTTTTTATACCAAGTAAATTGTTCTTTGTGCTTGTATAACAAATTCAAAAAATATCAACCACGTACCTCCAGCTTTAGCTGGGACCCTGGTGTCCTTCATCGAGACACGAAAATTTAGGTTCACATAGTTTTCAACAATTTTTATTTTGTTCGACTTATGTTTTTTTTAAATTGCTTTGTTTTTAATCATCGCTCCGCTTCGCCGCTGTGTGAAAAATTATTTTGCAATGTATCTGTATTTAGCTATTTTTATTATATTCGTAACCAATCTGAAGTTTGAACTAATTTCTTTTTAACTTATACCTTTCACTATTTGATGCTGCGGCTAATTTTTTTAATACCAAGTAAATTGTTCTTTATTCTTCAAAAGCGTGGCAATCATTCGCAAAATTGTGACATGTGTCAGTGATTAGACAAACAAATTCATCTCTGAGGGTGACAAAAATAATATCTTATGGTTGAATAATCTTGTAGATTTTCCTTTAGAGGCAAAATGAAAGGATTTTAGTCAGGTGGGCATCTCAAATGGATGGGACAAAATGTGAAAATGGTCAAACCATACTCGAAGAGGTGATCGATGAAAATTATGATCCTACTGAAGAAGGTACATGAAGAAATTAATTTGTTCATTTGAAAATTACGAATTGAAGATTGTGAAAGTTTCTGATCCTGTTAGACTGGCTAATATGATATTTTTGAACTTCGATCTGTTTTTAGAAATTCTCGAGTATGCGCTGGACATCTTGGAGATTGACCCGGACGCAGAGCCGGAGTTGTTGTGGATAGCAAAGGAAGGATTGAAAGCAACGCTTCCTCCCGAGTGGAAACCTTGCCAGGATCTCAATGGAGACTTATACTATTTTAACTTCACATCTGGCGAAAGCAGCTGGGATCATCCATGTGACGAATTCTACAGGTTAGCTAGTCATGGTACTGAAATTCTTACAGCTTATTGCGATTTAACTTATCTTGTATACTTTTAACTTTTTTTCATAAAAGAACGAACCTTCGTGATGTATTGCCCCAACGCCATATTTTTCAACATCCAAAAGTTGCTTATTGAGTGTTGCATGTAATCAATATATGTGTTGCTGTTCGAGGAAAATAAGTCGGTAGGGGAGTCAAACTATGGCACTGGCCCTGAAAACATTTGGGATTAAATCCGTGTAGGTTTCAGAAGTATTCGCTTTATATTTCGCTTGCGTATACGAATCTATTATCTATCTATTATATATTTAAATGCGGGCTTCACTATCTCGCCATGTTTAAGCTTTTTCAACGTATTATTTTTGCATGATTAAGCTATATTGTATATTGCAATGGTTGAGAATTTTTTTTCGATTTTCCAATTTGATTTTAGTGGTGTCTATTATATATTTAAATGCGGGCTTCACTATCTCGCCATGTTTAAGCTTTTTCAACGTATTATTTTTGCATGTTTAATCTATTTCGTATATTGCAATGGTTAAGAATTTTTTTTTCGATTCTCCAATTTGATTTTAGTGGTTATTTTACCGAGTTTAATTTAAGCAGCCCAATATCGAATTAGGGGTTGCGAATTTGGCCTCCAATTTTGAATGCCCGAATCATTTTAGTTAATGAGATAGGACGATTTTTGAGATTTTTTCAAAAATTTTCAGAAATTTCAAATAACAAAATAATTTACAAAACTTGAAATTCCCAACCTTGTATTTGGGTGCTGTCAGAATACTCTAAGGAGTTAACAATCTTGCCTTCAAATATGACTGTTCAAATTCTTGTAGTTTTCGAGATATGACGTTTTTTGGTGATTTTTTAAAAATTTTCAGACCGCTATAGTTCGGTGTTGTGAGGGTACTCTAAAGAGTTACAAATCTTGCCACATGCGACTGCTTAACCCGACTTCCCAAATGCTTTGAGTTTCCGAGATGTGACGTTTTTTGATTTTTTCAAAATTTCTCAAAGAACTTATCTCCAAAGAAATTCAAAAAATTTGAAACTACTAACTTGATGAAGATACAACCTTACTGTCAGCGTACACGCAGGCGTCTCAAATCTTGCCTCTTAATATGAGTGCTCAACTATTTTCGAGTTTCCGAGAGAAGACGTTTTTTTTTCAATTTTTTTTTCGGGAAACTTAGGTTTAAAAAAATTCACAAAATTTTGAATTCCTAACCCTATAGTAGGGTGCTCTCAGGGACTCTCAGTGGTTGCAAGTCTGGCCTCCAAATTTCTCCAGGGGCCCATTAAGTTTTCGAGATGTCGCTTTTAAAATGGGAATTAAAAAGTTTGAAATTACCAACAATGTAATTGGGTGCAGTCAGAGTACCCTAAAAGTTTGCAGATGTTGTTTCCAATATATGCGGTTTTTCATGAGTTTTCGAAAAATTTCGAAGCACCGGAGGTGCGTTAAACGCTAGTCTCAATTTAATATCTATGTTAATATTAGCATTCACGTAGTTGACTTGTAGTTAAAGCTCAAAAATTTTGTGTTATAGAAACGAAGTCATCAAGGAAAGGGAAAAGATGACATCTAAAAAGAACAAAAAAGGAGGAAAAAAGAAGAGCAAGGCTGCGAAAGCAAGTGCCGACGATGATATTCTGGCAGCCAGACCAACTGTCAAATCGCCCGCTTTCTCAAGAGCTGCTGATAATATCATTCAGGTTTTAAAACATTACACATTATAACACAATATTTCATAAACCTATAGCGGTGCGCTGCCATGGTAGTCTCAGTTGTTGCAAATTTCTTCTCTGAATGTGTCTGCTGAAATCATTTAGTTTCCGAGACAATCTTTACTTCTCAAACCTATTATTTCATTTTTCTGGTTAGACGTTTTCATGATTTTACGTAAGTTTTCAAAAGTGTTTAACTTAAGAATTATATACTGTTCCAAATCTGACATTGTCAGCAGTTGCAGATAAGGCCGCCATCCTAATGTTATTGCTATCCAATAATGTAGCTAAATTTAGCCACTGATGGCAAGAAATGATATACACACGGGCGAAATGAACAGTAACAGCAAAATTAAACAAGGGTCTCATTCATGATGTCATTGATTTTGCAATTGAAATAATTAAAAATAGAAGTGCAGCTCTATGCTGTTGACCATTTTGATCGTTTGATTCTGTTTTCAAAATAGGACATCTGAAACCCTCTTTTGTGAAGCTTGGACCATTTAAGTTTAGAAAGAACTTTTAAATAGTAATGAACGTAGTGAAGACTCTTATATAGGTCTTGCTGATTTTTTGTTTTTTTTTTCCAGGAAAAATTCTAAAAATATTGATGCACTTAGATATAATACATTTTTTGAGTTCAATTGAAGTTCGTCTGCTGAAATTGACGTAATTAGCACTCTCCAAATGCGAACGTGGAATTGGCGCAAAAAAACGAACGATTTTTAGTTTCGAAAGACGAATTTATTTAAGATTTGCCAGCGGAATAAAAATTTTACCTAGCGAACGCATAGATGGCCTCCATTACGCAACGAGCGATGTGTATTAGTACGACTATTTTTTAAAACTTAAATCACAAATAAAAGTGTTCATTAGTTGGCGCTTCTGCTATAATCATGTCATGTAGCATTAGAAATTTCATAGCATCTGTTCTCTGCTTTATTTTCTGATCGTTGAGCGCCTGTGGCTGAGAGGGAAAGTCTTGAGGCTCCCAATATAGAGGTTGCAGGTTCAAATCCGACGCGTAGAAAAAGATTTACTCCTTCGATTTATATTGTTGCGTTTTCTGATTTGTTTGTTTTTTAGAACTGCTTGCTTGTCGTTTTTTACCAGCCAATTATTTTTCCAGCTAATCAGAATTGAGTATCCAAGTTGGGCATTGAAATTAATTTCACCGGTTTCAGGTAGCAAATTCGTTTTCAGGATCTGTCGGTGGTGGGTATATCGACTAAATCACATAGTAGATTTCTTGGAAAATGTTGGAATGAAAAGAAAAATTTTTCAAACAATGTAGAAGTTTTTGGATGAGAATGTCGCCGAACAAAACATATACTGAGGGGTTCTTTTCTCTGACTGCAACATGTGTAGGAACAGTTGGACAAAATTGTAGAAGGGACCTGAATCCCATGCGCACTAGCTGAAAAACCGCAACTTTTACAAAAAATAACGATAGAAAATAGCAGTTTCATAAAATTTCAAATATTGTGTAAAAAATGATTTAAAAAAATGGAAAATTTTTTTTTATCTGCACAAAATATAGAGCAAAACTTTGCTGTTCTGCTATAAGTCCTTTAAGCAAGCGTTATTAAATTAGAATAAACGCTTTTTTTCGGGTTAACAGCTTAATTACCAGAATCTTGGTTTATTGTCAATTCAATTTTTTTTAATAGTCTACGGCACACTTAGTCTGAAGGTAACGAATACGCCTGGGACGGCAAGTATCTTGAGATCAAGTTTGACCGGGACCTGTTTTTTAAACGAATTATGTCGTTCGAAAATATTGTCGGCCTATTTTTTGGTTACTTTTGCTAGCTAACTTGCGAGTTTTTTTACGAGTACGAAATTTTGCTTTTTTGTTGCTTCAGTGTTCTGATTTAATCCTGCAATTTAAATTTTAACTAGCCTTGAAATATGATATTTTACTTTTTGCTTTTTCTTTGCCTCGCGAAAATTGTATTTGGCCTGAATGATTCAGGCATCTATTTTATTTGTCTAGTGCTAATTTTGGGTTGTTTCCAGGGAAACTGCTAAAAACTTTAGAATAGAAGTTATAGTTTGAAGTTTTTCATAGCCTTAATTTTGTTTTCGGACCTGGAATTTAATCCAAGTTTTATCTGCTCAGTTGCCGCTCGAGAATTGTTTTGAACTTCCTTTAAATGACGTTATAATTCTGGACGTCTTTTTTACATGTAGAACATCATTCCAGAAAATAGTTTACGTTTTTTCCTAGTTGTCTTGACTAAATGGCTCTCCTTTTTCCCTTCCAGTCTGCTAGCTTGCAATGCTGTACTTTTGTTATATCGCAAGTGGTGAGAAGATGATCTTCGCCTCTGTGTTGTGTTTGTCTTCTTTCTGGCGCTTATGAAAGATTGTTTAGTCATTTTGCAGGATGATTGTTCCGACTTTGACAAAAATGACGGAATTTTTCTGCGCTGGGTAAATTTTTTCTCCAGACAAATTTCGAGTTTTGAGTTAGTGATGTCGACAGAGTATTTTAAATCATTCAAATGGTATTGACGTCTTTTGTTTAAATTATAAGAGATATCTTACTTTGATCATTTTTCGAAAAGTTCGGCTAATTTGGGACAATTAATGCGCGAAATATTTTGTGCTATTAACGCGTAAGCTCTTTCAAACCGATCTTTTAGCAAACTCCTAGCGGCTCGAATGTCATTTAGCAGCTCTTTTTGCGGCACGAATGTCATTGTGCAAGAAAATCAGCTTTTTTGCCGCTAATTTAGACTATTGTTTTTGAAGTTGATCAAGCTTGTTGATAAACCGTGAGAAGGAATGAAACATAGCTGAGAAACAGTCGCTCTTTTTCTTGACCTTCAAACGCAAACTTTCTTCCTAAAATTTTTAAACGGCCGATTTTAAAATGATTTAACAGAAAAAAAAACTAAGGAATAAGGTACATGTCTTTTAAGAACTATGCTTCAGTTGCAATATTTTTTTTTTCATTATTTTTAAGAAAAACCAGGGAAAAATAAAATCAAAAAGGACAATGAACTGAGATAGTAGTTGCTGCAAGTTGCAACTAGTCAACTTCAAGCATTCTTCGCCCTTTTTGCCTTTTTTGTTGATTATTGCGTTTTAAAGACCATTGAACTTTAAAATGATTTGTTTGAATTAACAAAAAGACAATTTCAATGGATTCAAATATTTATACTTGTTGCATTCAAAAGTTTTTTTTATACATCATGGATGTTCCACAGCAGATGAGTGCTATTATCAATCAGGTTACGGATAAGAATGTGAGAGACGTTGCTGCTGATGGCAAACAACTTGGTATCTGGTAAGAGTGAACTTGCAGAAAAGGTCAGCGACTAGCAAATTATTTGTTATAATTTGAATGAGCGGTTGAGGGTACAGGACCGTTTTTACCAGTGAGGATTCCATCCTAATCAAAAGTCCTCCATATGATCTGAAATTATTCTGGTCATTTTTACGAAAAGAATTTGGTTACTTTTTGGTTATTTTTTGGTTACTTTTGCTAGCTAACTTGCGAGTTTTTTTACGAGTACGAAATTTTGCTTTTTTGTTGCTTCAGTGTTCTGATTTAATCCTGCAATTTAAATTTTAACTAGCCTTGAAATATTATATTTTACTTTTTGCTTTTTCTTTGCCTCGCGAAAATTGTATTTGGCCTGAATGATTCAGGCATCTATTTTATTTGTCTAGTGCTAATTTTGGGTTGTTTCCAGGGAAACTGCTAAAAACTTTAGAATAGAAGTTATAGTTTGAAGTTTTTCATAGCCTTAATTTTGTTTTCGGACCTGGAATTTAATCCAAGTTTTATCTGCTCAGTTGCCGCTCGAGAATTGTTTTGAACTTCCTTTAAATGACGTTATAATTCTGGACGTCTTTTTTACATGTAGAACATCATTCCAGAAAATAGTTTACGTTTTTTCCTAGTTGTCTTGACTAAATGGCTCTCCTTTTTCCCTTCCAGTCTGCTAGCTTGCAATGCTGTACTTTTGTTATATCGCAAGTGGTGAGAAGATGATCTTCGCCTCTGTGTTGTGTTTGTCTTCTTTCTGGCGCTTATGAAAGATTGTTTAGTCATTTTGCAGGATGATTGTTCCGACTTTGACAAAAATGACGGAATTTTTCTGCGCTGGGTAAATTTTTTCTCCAGACAAATTTCGAGTTTTGAGTTAGTGATGTCGACAGAGTATTTTAAATCATTCAAATGGTATTGACGTCTTTAGTTTAAATTATAAGAGATATCTTACTTTGATCATTTTTCGAAAAGTTCGGCTAATTTGGGACAATTAATGCGCGAAATATTTTGTGCTATTAACGCGTAAGCTCTTTCAAACCGATCTTTTAGCAAACTCCTAGCGGCTCGAATGTCATTTAGCAGCTCTTTTTGCGGCACGAATGTCATTGTGCAAGAAAATCAGCTTTTTTGCCGCTAATTTAGACTATTGTTTTTGAAGTTGATCAAGCTTGTTGATAAACCGTGAGAATGAATGAAACATAGCTGAGAAACAGTCGCTCTTTTTCTTGACCTTCAAACGCAAACTTTCTTCCTAAAATTTTTAAACGGCCGATTTTAAAATGATTTAACAGAAAAAAAAACTAAGGAATAAGGTACATGTCTTTTAAGAACTATGCTTCAGTTGCAATATTTTTTTTTTCATTATTTTTAAGAAAAACCAGGGAAAAATAAAATCAAAAAGGACAATGAACTGAGATAGTAGTTGCTGCAAGTTGCAACTAGTCAACTTCAAGCATTCTTCGCCCTTTTTGCCTTTTTTGTTGATTATTGCGTTTTAAAGACCATTGAACTTTAAAATGATTTGTTTGAATTAACAAAAAGACAATTTCAATGGATTCAAATATTTATACTTGTTGCATTCAAAAGTTTTTTTTATACATCATGGATGTTCCACAGCAGATGAGTGCTATTATCAATCAGGTTACGGATAAGAATGTGAGAGACGTTGCTGCTGATGGCAAACAACTTGGTATCTGGTAAGAGTGAACTTGCAGAAAAGGTCAGCGACTAGCAAATTATTTGTTATAATTTGAATGAGCGGTTGAGGGTACAGGACCGTTTTTACCAGTGAGGATTCCATCCTAATCAAAAGTCCTCCATATGATCTGAAATTATTCTGGTCATTTTTACGAAAAGAAAACCATCAAATTTCTTGGTGACTTGCTAGTTTTTTTCCGAGACTTGGGATACAGTTAAGGTACGGAGAGCTCCGTGAGCGCGTACCACATTATTCCGGGCACAGAAAAACTACCTTATGGATTGACCCCGACGTTTTTTGTGAAATTTGTCAGGTTGAGGATAAATTAGCAACAAATCGAAAAGGAAGAAAATATACATGAACGAGCGTCTTCCTTCTATTGAATCAAACATTTAACAAGAGGCAATCAAAAATGGTTGCAATACATCTTGCTGGAATTGCAGTGTGTCAGTTTTGTGTGAAAATGACCGTGGGCAAGTTAGTTATAAAAAAGTGGACTATGTGGACGGTTTAAAAACTGGAAAATACTATCAAAAAACAACCCATTGCTATAAGGGCGACCAGTTCTAAGCGCTATGCATCCGAAATGGAAAATGAAGAAAGAAAGAATCATGAAACTGTACGGTAGTTTTTCTCTCAAAGTAAAAAAAAATAAAACGTGAACGCGGAAAGGTGAAGCATGTAAACTCTAATGAACTCTAGTTTGTGGAGATGGGAGCAAACCTTCAGAACTGAAATTTTGTGTTAATAATTTTGATGTAGCTGTTACCTTTACATCGGTTGAATGATCAAAAGCGTTGGCACTACAGAATAAACTATTTTTTCTCCAAAAATTGGCGTTATCTCATTATCTGTTTTGTTTTCTCCAAATTTTAGCATCCATGGAAAACTTCAATTAGTAGCGAACGAGTTCCACTTTTATTTGTTTCTTTTGCTTTTTTTGTAGATTTTGTGTTGAAATAAAGAAAATATAAAAAACACCTTAAAACTGGTTATAAATCTCAGTTTCATAACAATTCAATGCTCTTTAAAACGCAATAATCAACATCCATGATGTATAAAAAAACTTTTGATTGACACAAGTATAAATATTTGAATCCATTGAAATTGTCTTTTTGTTAATTCAAATATATCATTTTAAAGTTCAATGGTCTTTAAAACGTAATAATCAACAAAAAAGGCAGAAAGGATGAAGAATACTTGAAGTTGACGAGTTGCAATTTGCAGCAACTACTCTCTAAGTTTATTGTCCTTTTTGTTTTTTTTTCCTTTTTTTTCTCAAAGATAATGAAAAAAAATATTGCAACCGAAGCATAGTTCTTGAAAGACTTGTACCTTATTCCTTAGTTTTTTTTCTGTTAACTTTTTCAATTAGCATTTAAGCTCGTCTATAAGTAAATATCTTATCCTGGTTTTCTGCAACCTGAAAGAAAAGTGTCTAAAACAGATAAAGACCCATAGTTGAAATTTTCAGCAATTATGTTTGAACAAAATGAAAAACAAATTAAATGAAGTTACAACGTATAAACAAAGTTGACTGAAATAAGAAAAGTTATTACGTAAATCAGATTGCGATTCTCAGCAGTCTGTTGATCAAATCTTTTCAAAGTAAAATGGAGCTGGTTAAAAATACTAAAAAGATCTGAAAATATGAGCCGATAATATCAAAAATCAAAATGTAGAAGTATATCGGCCATATAAACAATAGGCAGAGGTCGGAAAAAGAAGTAATACCTAAAGCTGAATGTCCATTTTTTTTGCAAAAGATTCGCTCAGTAACGCTAAATCATGATTCCTTGGAGTTTTTCATGAAATTTAAATTAATAAGCTGCAAATTATAGCTCTTACTGAAACATGGCTGAAAGATTATATGGAGTTTTGTGTTTTCAGTTTGGCAGGTTACAAGTCTATAGAAACAGTGAATTGGAAAAAACGCGGTAGACGTGTTGCTTTCTGGAGCTTTCTAATTTAAATGCTCATCTGTTCGAGTTGAAAAAGCAGCGAGTCAACAAAAGATGTATTTTTACCAATTTTTATTCGATAGTCATGGTCCAACACAACTCTATATGGGATCACGAGGTGGTAGAAATTGAAGCACCATTTCAACTTGAAGACTAAACTTTGCTTTAAAACAAAATTTTGAGTTTTTGGATATCTGGAACGTTTTAGATAACCATGAGACTGCTGAAGTTGAAAAAGGATACTGAAGGTATGAATGATTGCGTTTTACAGCTCCTAATAGCTATTCAATATAGTAGCTATCCAATCGGAAAAATTCATTCCTAAGCTTGCAATAAAAAATGAGGAAGTGTTGGATAACTGCTTACATTTAAAATGAGATTAATAAAAAGAATAAGTTGTACAAAAATACTTGAACAATAAGAGTGATTGTAATTTTGATAAATTCCAGGAACATTGAAAAAAGCTGGAAAGATTGTGTCCATAATCAAAAAATTCTTTCCTTGAGAAACGACCTGAAGGCAAGAGACATAAAAATTCGAAAAATTGTTATGAAGTCATAGTCATTTTGGAAGTCATTTAATAAAGTCATTTTCTGAAGTCATTTTATTAAGTCGTTTTCTAAAGTTTTTTTTTCTGATCTAATTTATTAATTTTATAAAGTCATAGGTGAGATCAGCAAAAAGGAAAAGCAAGTGAGTTCAAAACACAGCATTTTGAGTGCAGAAGATTAAAACGATTTTTTATTGAAATTGGTCAGAAGCTAATCGTAAGTATTACCACACCACAAAATCTAAAAAATGTAGAAAAAGATAATAACATGTTTTTGGAAAGCATTTCATCCCAAAAGCTTACGAAGTAATCAAAAACCTGAAGAAAAATACAGCCATGATAGTAACAACCAAAGTAACAACCAAATCAAAAAAGTTAGTCCGGTTATATCTGAGCTACGTAGTTGCCTTTTCAATCTGTGTAAAGTTGTCATATAATCCTTAAGTTTATAAGGTTGCTAAAGTTCAACCAATTGATAATAGTGGCACATTTTCAGATTGTGGTAACTACATACTTTTATCTATTCTACCAAATTAATGGGATTGTTTTCGTAAAATTGGTTAGAAATTGCATGAGAAGTTTTCTGATTAAATATGATGTACTTACAGCATGTCAAATTGGATTCCGAAATGAAAAATGTACAGTTGATGCTATCTTAGAACTCACTGAACAATTAGTGGAGAACCTAAAAGAAAATGATGGCTCCGTGTGTACATTAAAAGATCTTACAAAAGCGTTCGACACAGTTGATCACAAACTCTTACTGAAAAAATGCGTACTCTATGGTTTATGAAGTGAAGTTGTTCATCTGTTGAGGTTTTACCTTGAAAATCGTAAACAGTACGTTAATTATAACTTTTAATTATCAGACAATAAAGCAATCTACTATGGCGTACCACAAGGTTCCGTCCTGGGTCTTTTGTTGTTTTTGCTGTATGTAATTGATTTGTCGAACGTCTGTAGGCATAATAAAGTTGTGCTGTTTGCTGATGGTTGCGCATTGTACACAACAACTAAAACAGGAAATCAGCAGCAGGTGAACTCTGATATAAGAATTGTTGAAAATTGGTTTTTGGAGAAGAAGATTACCATAAACAAGGATAAAACATCTGAGTTGATAGATCACCGAGCAAGATTTAGCTGCTCTTCTCAAAGTTATATCGTTGTGTGTTTGGAAATCTAATTTTTCATTCAATTGAACAGGAATTTAACAGGATCAAATTTTTTAACAATAGACCCCATAAAAACTTTAGCCTAATAATGGATGAAAAACTGAAAAGGGCAGCTAAATCTTGCTCGATGATCTATCAACTCAGATATTATTTTAACGCACCTACACTGCTCAAGATGTACAAAACGAATATTCAACCAATATATCAATATAGTGTACTGATCTATGGCACAGCTAATAAGACAGTCTTTTAAAATTTAGAAAGCCAGCAAAGACTCGTGTGAAGGATTTTTTTGAAATTAAAAAGTAAGAAAGTCTGAGACATAATCAAGACAAACATAATTTGTGTTTGGTTCGAAAGTTTTATGTGAAAGAGCTTTTTAAACTCATGGTTAAAATTATAAGACGATCTTGTGGAAATAAAAATTTTCATGAATACATAATTGAACAGTAGATAACAGATACTATCCACACAGGCGAAACAAGAATAAAACGTTGCAGCCAAAATAAGCTGACTACAAGAGCAAAAAAGGAAAATCGAAAATAGGGTTCGTATTTTTTTTAAATAAGTTCTTACAGTTGGATAAAAACATTCTTCTTCAAGCGTTAACAACTATCAATGAAGCTTTGGACTTGTTTTTCATAAATTAATAGACATCTGTGTTTGTGACAACGACAGTTTTTTAAGTATGTTATAGTAAATTTACATCTTTTTGTTATTGTATTTTTTGCTCATCTTATTTTGATTGTTAGACAACACCAAAAAAAAACAGAATTTTTTCTTTTTAGATTTTGATATTGGAAAAAATATTGCGGTCCTTTTGTCCATATGATCTCAGTTTAAAAAAATTAGACGAATAGATTTTGTTTACTGAGATGCCGCCCAACAGGCTGATGCCTTTTTGGTATTCTCCCAAGCCGAACTAAATTGTAGACGTACAATTTCATAGAATGTATCGTTCAAAGTTTGCTTGAAAATAAATTTATTATTATTAATTGTCTTAATTAGTAACGATTTAAACTGTCTGTTGGCTTTCATGCTTTACATTTTAAGCTTCGCTTCGGTAGAATTAACAAATTGATTCACACGGGTTGTTGTTATTAGCTTTTTTCACTTCAGGAGCCTTCAGACACTCATGCACCGGATACGGATTTCTCACTTGGAGGTACTTTGCACATGCAAATGGGAGACATTGGTTACGAGGAAAGTGAGACTTCAGACATCGGTTTGGGCAATTCAGATGCCAAGTCGACTTTCAAAGCATCGAAACAACTGGAAAATAACAGTTCATATCGTGATGTACTATTGGGATCTGGCGCTACTCGTAACATAACAGTCAATATGCCGAACGATCAGACTGGCGCAGATGTAATTGGCAGGCCTGGTTTGAAAAGAGAGAATTCGGGAAACGTGGGAGTAGGCAGTTCGGAGGAGGACGAAGAGGAGAGCGATGAAGTGGACTTTAAGGATGACCAAAGTCTGTCTGATAAACTAATCGCCAGTACAGATAGACTAAGATACAGTCCCGATCAATCTCTTGTAAGTAGCACAAGGAAAAGTTCATTGTTGTTTGGTGTTGTTACAGTCATGAAGTTGTTAGACTTCCTTAAGATTAATGGACGAAAAGCCATTTTGCCAATCGCTTGTTAAAAAGAAATGGAAAATTATCTGGTTTGTTCTTCTGAAGATTAATCAAGTGGTTAGACTTGTTTCAAATTAATAAACCAACAGCTATTTTGCTGAGAAGTTTAGTGTCTTATTGGTTCGATAACTTTTTCACCAAAACTTGGATCCGTTTTTCTAAATTAAGTGACCAAACGGTTTTCAAAAAGCTTTAAAGTGGTTGGAATATTTTAGAATGCATCATTGGTGAGTCCTCCTAAGACGCCAAGGACTAGCTTCAACAGATCTCCAAGAAAAGTGAACATCCCAGCCTACCCTAGCTCAACCACGCCTCGTGGAACATTGAATGCCAATACAAGTGCCAATGCTAACCTGGTCATCAACCCCACTACCCTCGGGAATTCTACATCGCCATTGGTTTCGCCTAAAGGAGAAGGCGCATCCGCGAGTACCGCGGGTGGCGAAGAAAGCACGACGTCGACTGCGGGAACTACTAAAGAGCGGGAGGTTGATGAGGTACAATTGAGAAGAGAGAAAGCAGCAGTGGCAGCCCAGAGGTTGGAAACAAGCAACCATGTTTCATCACATTTAGCATCGTTCGGCTTGTTGTTTTCGTCTTTTTTTTTAAGACAGGTCATAAGACGATTTCAATTTTCGAGGTGCTATCACATTATGATTTTGACTGTTTTGGGTTGCTCGGTTATAAATCTGGTTTAGTTGAAATTTATGTTAGTCCTTAAAAATTATTATTAGCTGTCACCCATTGGTTGAACAATTCAGCTTCTGGTAGAGACTTTCTAAAGTGAATGAACTCAAAGCTAGCTGTGCTCTGATGTCAATGAAATCAAAGTCAAAACTAGATTAGAACAAAATTGCTTTTTTCAGACGTCTGCAGGATAACCAGTTGATCACAGATGCCTCAACTGACATCGAACATGTACCCGGAGGGGGCCCCGAGTGCTCAGATGCTAAGCTCTACTCCAAGGTCAACTCCTTATCCAGACAAGTGAAGCAGAATCTGCAGCAGCATCCACACCAAGGAAGTGGGGTCAATGTTGAAGAAATTGCAGAGCTGCAAATGAAAACTAAGTGGGTTTGAAATCTTTTGTTAACTTGATAAATGACCTGAAAGTAGAATATGTATTTTATTAAAGACCTGCTCAAGGTTTATGCCCTCTCGATCAAATTTTATTAATATTGTTCAATTTGAGTGTTCTTCGATTTGTGCGGAGTTGAGATTGAACTGTGATTGTAGGAATCTCAAGGCGCAACTAGAAGCTTCTCTAGAAGAAGAAGAGCGTGTGTTGCGGGCTAGTCATCAACAATCTCTGGCTCAGTTGCGGGACAAATTGAGAAAAGACCTGGAGGCGAAAGAGCAGCAGGCTAAGTTAGTGATAGAATGTGTTCATTGTTTTTAGAGGAACTAACTCCGCGTCTTGTATTGCTGGTCGTATGTCTAGTTAGAAAATAGTACTTTAATTGAATCTTAGGTATCTTTCAAATGGCGATCTCATTCCAACAATCCCAGTCTCATTTCAATTGAAAGATGCTATAAAATATGGCTCAAACTTTAAAATTGGCTGTAGAGCGATATTTGTGATCTTATCAGTGCTAGCGGGTTTGGTGCAGCTTGCAATATCTAATCGGTATTGTCTTTTTCAGCCAAGAAGCAGAGGAGAGAATTGTGGCTCTTCAGAGAGAGGTAGATAGAATGAAAGAGGAGGAAAGGAAGAAGGTTGAAAAGGAGCGAGAACAGCACTTGAGGAGACTGAAGGAAGAACAGGAGCTACAAGGGAACCAGGATGGTGGGAGGAGTAGTCGACTGAAAGGCGAGGTAATCATAAAATGGCCCGGAACGGCTGGTAGCTATAAATTTTGCATCTCACATTTTTAAGCCTTGTTAAACGTTGTTCAGCCTCTTCTACAGGTCGCGACGATTTTTTATTCAAGAAAAGCAATTTTTTTGCGGTTTGATTTTTGATTTCTTTTTAAGTTTAGTTCAGTTCCTTTATTAAAAGGAAGGCCAACTCCACTATCGAACAGCAAAAGTGTAAAGGTAACAAGAAACGTGATCGACTTCTAGTTTGAAAGTTTCAGATTTCCCAGCGAAATGAAACTTTTACCTATTGATCCAGTTTTCTCAAATTGGTTTAATCTCATCAAAAAATTTGTCAATCATAGATTGTTCTGGAAATTCAAAGAGCTTTAAGGGCATCTGCTTTTTCTTTGAAATTCGAAGTTTGAAATTTCACGTTCTCCCGTCATATCTCAAAGTCCCTTAGTCGATGTGGGACGGAAAGTTCCACGAAGTTTAAGAGCGCGAGAAGTGTTTGTAAACTCTTAAATTTACCCTACAAGGATGCTCGGTAAATAATATAAGACCTCCCTTTCTATTCAAGTAATGCGAATGGAGTTATATAGCGATTAGATGGCTGTAATTAAGTTCAGTAGAAGCTGCGGCGTGTCAGTGTGCAAAAACTGAGCATTTGGTAATTTAGAAGATGCTCTCTTAAGTAAGTGTAGTAGACGTCTTATTCTTATATGGCTTATTAGTAAAAATAATATTTAAAAACAAACCCATGTTTTTTAGCTTGATGTTAAACTGAGCCGCCGTGAACGGGATCTCCAGGAGGTCTTTGAGATGAGTGAAGGGGATCTGGAAGCCAAGTATGAGCGACTCTTGAAGGAAAAACAGGATGAATTCTTGAAGAAGGTGACTTTTTTTAGCGTTTAATCATGAGTTTATCGAGCGCCCTGAGTTTTTGACGTCATCCGAATCACAGATGATAGATTTTTATATGATACATCACTCGGCCCTCTCAAGTAATAGTAATATGGGCTCAACAAGAAATAGGGGCTCAAGTGTGGTATCATTCTAAAATCTTTTCAGTCTTAACTCCAGTTACAGGAAAAAAGTTTTTCAAATAATGAGAAAAAAAGAGCTTTTCAAGAGTCGATGAACTATAGGTCGCGATCATTTCTTGCGTTTTGTCAAAAAAAGTTCCCTAAAAGTTGTTCGGGCTTAAATTTACTTTTTCGTGGTTTGACTTTTGATTTCTTTTCAAGTTCAGTTGATATCCTTTGTTAAAAGGAAGGCAAGTTCCTCTATCGATCAGCAAAAGGTTAAAAGGCACAAAAGAAATGATCGAATCCTAGTATAATAAAAAGTGATCGACTTCAGCAGAATAAAAAAACTAACCCATTGATCCAGTGAATTGATCTCAAATTGAATTATTTTTCTATCAGAAAAGTGTCAATATTTTTTCTTTGAATTTCGAAATGTGAAGTTTTTAACGCTTGCGATTAGCTAACGTTATCAAATTGGAATCTAGACTTTTTTCGGGTTAACAACTAGGTGAACAAAATTACTGAATCATTTGTGCAGCTTTCAATTTGTTGAAAATTCAAATTTTAATACTGGGTACGAAAACTAGTAGACGGTTAAGGGACTACGCTCGAATCCGGTCAGCACCTGTTTTTTCTTATCCTTAAACATTGAGCATCAAAAAAAAGATCAGCCTATGGGCACTCCTGCTTATGGTTTCTTTTTTTTTCTAACTTACGTCGCAAATAAAAGTGTTAATAATTTGGTGCCACTTTTGCTTAAATCACGATCTGTAGCATTGGAAGTTTCATAGCATCTTTTATCTGCTTTTTTTGTGACTTACCAAGCGTCCGTGGTTGAGTGGTTAGTGGGTGAGACTCATAATCTCTAGGTCGCAGATCGAATCCGAGGCGTACCCGAATTTTTACTAATTCGAGGCTTTTTTTACGTTTTATTATCGCACTGTATAGAGCTGTTTTTTTGTCGTGTTTTCGCTAGTGTTTGCTAAGCGAATCTTCGCTTCTGTGTAAAAGGAAGGCAATCTCCGCTATCGAATAGCGAAAGTGTAAAAGTCACGAAAAACGTGATGGACTTCTATGATCGAATTCGGAGTTTAAGTACCAGATTTCCCAGCGAAATGAAAATTTTACCCATTGCTCCAGTTTTCTCAATTTTTATCTAAAAAGTCTAAAATTGGTTAAAATTTGAAAGAGCTCTAAGGGCATATAGGTTTTTATTTAAAATTTGAAAGTTGTAGTTTTTTTCCAAAAAAAAACATTTCAGTTTTTTTCTGTTTCCTTAAATTAAAAAAGCTTGAAGGGTATCTTTTTTTCTGAAATCCGAAAGTTGAGATTTTTTTTCGACAATAATGTTAGTATTTGTTTTCTGTTTGCGTTCATTCACTCTTTTCCAGTCTGGTGGCTGGCTATGTTTACTAATGATATAAGTTTAGCGAAGTGAGAATGAGTTTTTTACTGGGATTGAGTTTAGGTTCGATTGTTTTTCTGTGTCGCAACATATCGTTTCGAAAATATTTACCCCATTTATTAAAGTCGCAAATAAAAGTGCTCAGTTTTTCGGTGGATTTTCTGTGGTAATAGCCTTATATCTGGTTTTTGTTTTTATTGAATTAGAATTATATCATTGTATTTGGTTTTTTGGTGACTAGGGGTTTTAAAATTATAAGTTTTAGTATAATCCCTACTATCGTTTCACATTTCAGTGCAAAGTTTTGGGCAATTTTTGTACTAATTACACAAGCTCAGCTTATGTGATAATATGAATTCTTTTTTTCCAACTTAATTCGAAAATATTTGATATCTAAGTTTGAAGTTGAGTGTAAAGCAAGGCGGAATAGCCAAGTGGTGACTGTTCCGGCTTATTCTTTAACGTTTGTAACTTGTCATTTTACCAAGTCTGATTTCAAATATTTTTTTTTCATGTTGTTTTTTCGAGTAAATGCTTTTGCCTTATGATTTATGGCCTAATGAAAATGTATGGCGTTGTTTCAAGGGCAAACATTTCTGTTGTGCAACAAAATCAACTATTATTACATTTGTGGGTGCAAGTATCCTGAAATCAGGAACAAGACTTTTTCTCGTAAACAACTTTTCTTACGTTTAGCATTTCTTCAACTTGCTTTTTAATTCAATCTTCTTAACCTCCAGTTTTCTTCCCGATTGGCCTAGAGTTAACGCAATCGCCTTTGTACCCTAAGGTCTGGGGTTGGATCGACTCTCGGCTGGGCCTTGTTTTTTCAATATGTATGCAATTGAAAAAAAAATCGCTAAAAAGTGAATTGTTGGACTTCCGTGTTTCTGCTAAAATTATGTTGGCTTAGTTTGGCAAATGCTAGTGTTGTTCATTGTAGGTTCAGGGAGTAGGACTTGGAACTTTTCAATTTTTTTAAATCAATTTCTTCTTCGTTTCAACAGGTGTCTGCTCAAAGATTGTCGGCGTAGTTGCCACATCACTGATTTTTATTTTCTTGTGTACTAGGCAACTTCCCTAGTGGTTGAAAGTGCAAGTGTTGTTCATTCTAGTCTCATGTCGGTCTTAGACTTGTCAAGATTTTTTATGAAATCGTTTTTTTTTTCAAATTTTTCCATTTTCCATGTTTTTAATGTTTATGGTTAATCGCAAATAGTGTGAAGCTTAGCTTCGCCTCTGTGTATGTATTTTTTTGTTGTTGGTTGTTGTCTTGTTGGAATTCAAATTGTTTCTGACGGTACTTATTGTCGCTTGGTGCAAACAGTCGCTCTCTACGAATACTGCCATTTTTCATTTTCGGTTATTTGTCGCTCTCGATGAACTGTCGCGTTGCCTTATGCACTATATCCATAGCCTTCAATTTTTCTTGCTCATTCAAAGAAGTTTTCATGAAAACTTCAAAAGTATGTTGACAAGAAAAGGCTGAAAATGAAGTAGTAAGTTTTTTTTTATCAGATGACGACGATTGAAGAAAAGTATGAGGATAAATTGACCAATCAGAAGCAGAGAAATGAAGTGGATTATCAGAACAAACTGACTGAGATCCGAAACAGACACAACAAAGAGATAGAAGTATACAAAAAGAAGGTAAATCCTTCTGTAGCAATGATTAGTGTTATTTTGATTTTTTATGGTGTAAAAAAATGAACGGAACGGTGTAATTTTTTTTTACCGAAGCTCAAGTTTATTATACACGCGGGCGATCGCTTAGAAATGAATACTTTCATTCCAATATACAATCATAAATAACTCAAAAAATAAGGTTATTTTAAATATACGCAAGAATAAAGATTATTTTTGTCAGCTGGAGAAGGAAAGAGCAGAGCTGCAAGAGTCATATGAAACTGAGTTGGCAGAGTTGAACACCAGGTTTGACCGACAAATGACTGCGAAAGAGAACGAACTCAATGGCAAGGTAGGTTTAGATGCTTTTTAATGATTCCTGGGCGATGTGTCGAATTGCCGCAATTTTTAGAACGCATAGTCATTTTCAAGTACAACAGCTTTTTTTAGACTTGGGCAGTTAATGCAAGATTTTTGACCAGGGCAGCGTTCCCTACTGTTTTGGTCGAATTATTCTTTTTTGATGAAAACAGCGGTTTGAAATTATAAACCAAAAAACCGTGAGATCATTCTTAAAAAAATTAGAGAACTGGGGTACCTTTAAGGATTCTAATCTATAATATTAGTTCATACTTGCGAGCTATGCTCCTGTTATCAGTTGACTCGTTTGTCGGACTCACACGACGCCAAGATAGAGAAGGAGAGAGCGAGGCTGGAGAAAGAGTTCGAAGACAAAGCGTGGAGGTTGAGAAAGGAGGCAGATGTGAAACTGAAGAGCACTGAGCAGGAGATAGCACTCAAGGTCAGTTGCTTTTATTCTTATGCGGTTGATGCTTTCGTGTTGATTGAGGCAGTGAAGAGGTGGATTAACCAAAAGATAACAAAAAAAACAGCTTTAAGATGTCTTTTTTTTATGAGCAACTCCGGTACTTTTGTCAAGAGCTGAATAGCATGCATACTGGTAAAAGATAAATGGTATTTTAAACCTGACATAGATGTGTTAAAGAATCTAGAAAATCTTAAAGAAAAATAGAGAATCTTAAAGAAAATTTATATAGTTGAGCCACTTTTTTTCCTAATTAGTTGATCATTTTCCTTGTTTCAGCAAGAGTTGCTCGAGGAAGAAAGACGAAGACTGGACACTTTGCACGAAGAGCTCAAAGAACAGATAAAGAGTATTCAGTCACAGGTAACTGTCTGACAATAATAAATTGTAGCTAGAAGTGCTTCGATTATTTTTTGAGGTACTATGTTATATAATAGAATTAGCTGGACAAATTAATTGAAAATCTCGAAACCGTTTTGCTCCTATTTGTACCAAATAAGTAATGGAAAAAACCTGCCTGGGCTATCTGATATTGTTTAAACTTTTTTGACTCGTTTCATTCAGTCGCCTTAGAGAACGTTCAGTTCAGCGCACGATCAATTACGCAACTCCGTCGTTCAAAATATGTTGATGATTCCGTGCTTTAGAAGTCTGAGGTGACAGAGGGGAATGAAGCGGCATCAAAAGAATGGACGTTTACAAGGTCCAAACCGACAGCTAGTAAAGCAAGTCAGGTATGAGGTTGAAACCTATTTGTAATTTGAGACAGGATGTGTCCATCAAAATTTCTACCGGGGTGGTTTTTTCTAACTGTGCCAAAAGTTTGTTATCAAAAAGGGCCCGGGAATTTTTTTTTGCGGGACATTTTGTCGAAATTTCGAATTCATTTGCTCACAGCAGTGAACGAACCCATGAACTAGTTTAATCTTTAATGAACGTTTTTTCGACTTTTCAGACGATATTGCAAGAAGAAGCTGACTTCAAAACAATGTTGGCTAACAAACAGCAGAAAATCAAAACTCACAAAGTGAACCAAAGCAAAAATCCGAATATGTACAAACAAGCTGACGATGAAGATGATGCTATCGAAGCAGATTTTACCGATGAAAATGATCTTTTCGGACAAGAGTCTCAAGATTTAGAGCAAATCAGGGACCTCCTGAAAGATGCGAGTAAATCAAAAAGTAAATCAGCCTCACAGAAAAAAGTCACTTTGACCTTAAACGATAAATACAAAGGATCTCGAGGTCAAAAGTCGGACAATGAAAACGATGATGGTATCAGGACAAATATGGTGAAAAGTGGATTTGGTATTGATGATTTTGCAGAAGGCGACGAGGAGGAAGATCCAGATAGCTACAGCAGTGGATTTTCTAGTACCGATGAGATCATAGCTGCATGTAAGCAGAAATCTTATACGCGTAATTTTTGCGAATGCGTGTATTAATATAAACGTTTAAAAAGCGGGTTGTGCAAATTTTGAATAAATCATTTATTGCATAAGCGAAGTTAGTGATATTGAAAGATGTTTTTTTCCAGTAAACCAAAACGAAGCAAAAGAGTTGAATGGCGTTAAGAGCTCTATGGATAGTACAAACGAAAGACTGCAAACTCTACTGAGATCTCTAAATTTCGACGGACATCTTCAGAACAGGCATTTTGAGAGAAGTAGTCGTTTAACTAGTACCAGAAAACCCCCGAGTGATTTGCCCAGTGGAAGAACAAGAACGCTCTCCCGCGACAGAAACACGAGACGCAAGTCACCGGGTTAGTTTGTTGCCTATAAAATTGATCGCGCACTTTAAATTAATCTGAAATTACTTTATAAAACTAAAACTGATCTTCGGGTTTTCATAATTTAGATGGTACTGGTCTTCTGTAAGTGGCCTGTACGAATTGAAATTCAAACGACAAAATATCTGTCTCGAAACATTTTATGGCATTAAAAAACATCTGATCGGTAGCTTTGCAAATTTAATTTTGAGCAAAATGTGGAACAAATTGATGACAAAGTTAGCGTAACATTTGAATTTGGTTTGACCATTTCCAGAATTTTAGTTTTCGATATGCATTTCAAGATTTTTCATGTTACATAATATTTGTGTCAAGAGAACTTTCTATTACTGTAGAATAATCATAATATTTGTGGGTTGTAGACACGAAACACGTGGATGTTGCAGTGGGCGAGTCCATAGTGTTCTCTGCCAACAGTGCAAATAGAGAAATAGGTGGCCATAGTGATGGCCATGAAACAGCCGAACAAATGATGGCCAGGAAGTGGAGGTCATACTTCGGACACTGTGAGTATTTTGATAATAGGCTGAATTTTCGATTTACTCATGAACAAGATTTTCGTTTTTTTTTTAAAGGAAAGATAGTCTTAGAAGTTTTCACGCTCAATTTGTTTTTGCGGTTTCAAGTTAGCTGCAAATGAGCAAAAAACCTGAATGACATGTTTTAAAAGTGGATTCAAACTTTTACATTGCCCAGCTGAATACAAAAATAGTTAAAGATCTATTTTCTCAAATTAATTTAATTTATCACAAAAGTGTCAATCATACCGCTTGTTCACATGTAATCTGTTCTGGTGTTTTAGCTAATCCCTACCGAGCGGGATATGCGGACGAATATAGCACCCCTATTGGGTACGGATACATACCAGCCACGTAAGTAATATACCATTGTTTATTTTCACAGTTTACTTGTCTGCCAATAGCTACATGATTCGAGTCAAGAAGTTTCAGAAGACGCCGTTTTATCTAAATATGAATGATCAGTTCGTTTTTGACGTCTGAAGAGCATGTAGTTAGTTGTAACGTTCCTATGGGCAGCTGAATTTCTGAAACTTGAATTTCTGTTCCAGTGAGTTACTGAAACGCTACAATCGGGAAATATCATTTGGCCTGAACACTCCCCTATCTCAGCCTCAGGGATCAGTTCCAGGAGCCCCATCTCACTATTTGAGAACATCAGATCACGTGAACACGAACTCGAAATACCCGTTCCTGAATGACTGGATGCCACCGCCAGGCTCCGTCGAGACCCAGTTGCGCCAGTTGAACAAATGGCTGGTGGAGTTCAAACAAACTATGGCCGTGGAACCCTCTTTGGATGCTTGAACTCTCAAATTAAATCATTTATTTTCGATCGATTATTGTATGTTAATGTCCTTATGAAGACATTTAATTGCAGGCTTTCGCGACATAAAATTGAATGGTAACTGTTATCATGTTTTCGGAAGCTTTTATGTTATCTTCCGGTAATTTTTAGAGCACTTATATTATGGGAAGTGTCAAGATTTTTTGAATCGATACCTTTTGAGTTTCTTTTGGTCAAATAAATAGACATTGATTACTCTTCTTTATGGCGCAAAATCTGGTGTATCCACTTGTTCCGGTGCTAATGGCAATTATTGGCGATAAACACTTAGACCGAAATTTAGACCGATTGAATTAACAGTCGGTATATTGTTTGTAAAAACGACAAATTGTAAATACAAACAGTCTCTGTAAATAGTAGTTACTAAATTTCTAACACTTGTTTTGTACATTTCGGTTACTACTGAGTATGTTGCCTCTTGCCAACTTACAACTTCCAAATATTTCGTCAAAATACTTCCACATATTTTGTAAAAGCTAGAATTTTAATAAAATATCTTGTCTCATTTTTTTCTCGAAATACCATTAGTTATACGTTTTGAGGTCTTGATTTTTAAATTATTAGTTCTATTGTTCTATTCAAAGCTTAGATTTTTGTGAACAATTTTGCAGTTATAATTTTTAGTTCATCTTCAGATTATGGTATCTCTCAGGTCTGCTAGAAAAGGCCGTACTGTTTCTACCGGTGCAAATAACAACGATTCAGACTCAAATCAAACGACTGCCGGCTCATCTCAGAATCCTAGGAAACGAAGCCTATTTCCAAACGGTGGCGAAGCCACGCCGAAACCCAAACAGCCTAAAACTAGTAATTCTCAGCCAGAAATTACCTTTCCTCATAATGAAGAAGCAGGAATAGGGCTGGCATGCGGTCAAGGAGATACAGGTCAATTAGGCTTAGGCGATTCAGTGACTGAACGAAAAAGATTTCAGCCAGTTAAGATGACAGAAAAAATTGTTCAGATTATTTGTGGCGGTATGCATACAGTATGTTTAACCCCAGCAGGCGATGTGTACACATTTGGCTGTAACGACGAAAGTGCTCTCGGCAGAAAAACTGAAGAGGAAGAAGATACCTTTATCCCGATGATTGTCGAGATCCCGAACATAACAAAAATAGTTCAAATAACAGCGGGAGATAGTCATTCTGCAGCCTTGGACGCCTCAGGCTCTGTGTACATTTGGGGTATTTTTCGAGACAGTCAAGGAACTCTTGGACTCTCGGCAGATTTAATGCAGCATTGCATTAGTCCTCTGAAGCTGTCAAATATCCCAGAGATGGTGAAAATAGCGAGTGGGTATAATCATCTCGTGATGTTATCGTCTCTTGGAGATGTGTACTCGGTCGGAGCCGCCGAGCAAGGCGAACTAGGCAGAGTTTCGAAGTACCAAAGTGTGAAAGGCGGACGACGTGGACTTTCTTCTGTATTGGAACCTGGCATGGTTTACTTTGTTGGCAAGCAAAAAACTGCAAACATCTGGAGTTTTGGTTACAATTCTTTTTTCCTGTCGTCAAAAAATATTCTCTTTGGATGTGGTTTGAACAATTTTGGACAAACTGGAACCCAGGTTAACAATAACAATGTCTTCGTACCGACAAAAGTGAAGGCTTTTGTTGGCATGGAAATTAAAGAAGTTGCTGGAGGTGATCATCATACCTTATTTTTGACTACTGAAGGTAACGTTTACGGAGCAGGGCGGGGAGATTTAGGTAGACTTGGGATTCATCCAGAGCCGAAAGACCCGGAGTACGTTTCTGTTCCTCAGAAACTGGATATTGAAAACGTGAGAAGTATAGCTGCCGGATCTTGCGTGTCATTTGCGGTTGCCCAAAGAGGGTATCTCTACGCCTGGGGAGCTGGCACCAATAATCAGTTGGGTTTGGGTGACGATGAAGATTATTTGAAACCTGAAAAAGTGTCTTCAAAGCAGTTAACTGACCGAAAAGTTATTCAGGTTTCAGCAGGAGGCCAGCACTCGACATGTTTAGTTGTTGACAGAAATGAAGAGGAAGAAAGTACTGAAGTTTTTGAAGTGAAAACGGCAAGAGAAACTTCAAATTTGAAAGATACAAAACATGTTTTGGGCAAACCAAGTTCGAATACAGAACAAACAGAAGTAAAATTTGTCCATATAAATGGAGACGGCGATGTCTGTAAAAGCGTGAATAAACATGAAAATGTGAACGCAACTGGTTCGCTTGCGACTGAAATTATGACCGCTGAGATCCCGACGGTCAATGGAGACGTAGTTGAAACTACTGGCGAAACAACAGTGGTAATTACCGAAATGCCTGCTTTGAAACTTGCCGATGATGCAGTAGAAAGTGCTAGAAAATACGAAAGCATGGAACTATTGTCTGAGGAAATTGAAATGAATGACATTGAAAAAGTATATCAAACTGATGAAGTGCTTCAAGAAAATGGCAAAAATGGAGATGCTATTAAGAATCCTCTAGTAAAACTCAATGAAGATGTTGATATTTCTGCAGATGTTTCAAATGAAGGCGATGAAACTGCACGGGAAGCTATCAATGCTAATAATACTATAAATGAGAACGTTGTTAATGTTAATGGTGCTGAAATTTTGAGTGCTGTCGGAAATCCATCGCAGAATGTTGATGCAAATGAAATTGAAGAAACTGAAAAAGAACCCGTTGATGTCGAAATGAGAAACGAGAAAAATTGATATTGGCGGAGCTTTTCAAGATTTATTTTCATTCGAAATATTTTTATAAATTATTTCTCCTATTGTATGAACGTAACGTATTGTGTTCTTTTGATGTAACTGCGCATAAATAGTCAGTTTTAAAGCGAATAGAAATAATTTTTACGTTATATGTAAAAAAAAATTCTGCCATGTTTGTTTTGAATTCAAGCTAACAGCTAGTATTTATTAGCCTTTGCCTCTTTTATTAATATTCAGTACACAAGGGTATTGAAATCGGGTATTAGACTTTTTCCCCGTAAATAACTTAGTTCGAAGGACTCATCCCCTGGTTAAAAAAATTGGCTTAACACTTACCAATTTATTACATGCAAAGTTAATGTGGTTGCCTTTAGTTTTAAAAACATGCAAATTTTGTTCTTTTTTGTGCATTTTAAAGACCCCAAATCTTCTCTTTGCCTCTGTATAGAAGGATGACAAGCTCCACTATCGAAGAGCAAAAGAAGAAAGCTCACGAAAAACGCAATCGACTTCTAGTTCCGAAGGATTTGATTTTTCAGATTTCCCAGCGGAATACAAAATTCACCCATTGATCCAGTTTTCTCAAAGTTCGTTAATTTTATCAAAAAAAGTGTCAATCATGAGTTGTTCTGGAAAGTAAAACGGCTTTAAGGCAATCTATTTTAAAATTTGAAATTCGGTTGCTAAAGTTTTTTTTTCTGTTTCCTTGCGTTCATTGACTCAATTCGCAATTCCTTTATTTGTTATGTTAAAATTATGTTATAAGCGTCCGCATTCGCGCAGTCATGCAATAATGCTTTAAGTATCTTGCAATCCTGCAATAATTTATTTAATTTGTCCAACAAATAAATTGAGTTTCACCATCGTATTGCTGCCTGTTGTAACTGCAGTTTGTGATTTGCTTGCTGCTACTCATAATTTATCTTGTTTACTTTTGGGAGCTAGCGAGCGTAGTGTATCAATATGCCTCTTTTCATTCTAACCTGCATTCAAAAGTGCTCGTTTGGTGGTCATAATCACGATCTGTAGCTTTGGAAACTTCAAAGCATATGTTTTCTGCTTTATTTATGGCTATTGTTTGCCGATAGTTAAGCGACCGTGGCGCATTTGGAAGGGCGTGAGACTCCTAAGCTACTGTTCGAAGGTTCAGCGACGCACTTAGAACTAGTTTTACTTATCAAAAGTCGAAGTCATCAACGTAGTGTATTTTTCATAATGGTATCGGTGATGTTTGTTTGTTGTTTTTTTTTGAGGAAAAATCTTGAAAATTTAATCACGTTCAAAATAGATTTTTCACGGTTTGACTTTTGATTTTTTAAATTCAATTTTTTTTGTTTAAAGGAAGGCAAACTCCACGATCAAACAGCAAAAGTGTAAAGGCCAGGAAAAATGTGATCGACTTCTTTTTTCGAAATTGTAATTTATTTCCCAGCTGAATAAAACACTTACCTAATAATCCAGTTTTTCTCAAATTTGAATAATTATATTTAAATAATCAATCTCAATTTATTTTTGAAATTCAAAGAGCCTTAAGGCCATGTATTTTGAGTTGATTTTTGAAATATGAAGTTGTTTTTTCAGTTTCCTTGCTTTCATGACTTTTTTCGAAATGTCTCGGCTATGATATTTGGTGGAATTTTCGCTACATAGCAATGGTAATTTATTGGCATCTATACCTGCAACATTGGTGTCAAGATTTCGCAATCTTTCTTGGGGCAGTCGTGCAGATGCGCGTGAAAATGACACTTCAAATCTCGAGGTCACATGTTCGAATCTGACACATAGAAAAAAATTTACCAATTCTTTAAAAAGCTTTTCTTGAAAAAGCAGCTCTGAGAGCTCCGAAAATTTTACAATAAAATTGTGGGATAGGATGCTTTGGGCATGTCTGAAAGAGGGCTGGTTTGGTCTTTTTTTATAGTATGTTTGGTAAATTTTGTTAATACGGACTGATTTTTTGTATGTTTTGTAAAAATGTATTAATGTTGCTTTTGTCCGTTTATGATGCGGGGTTATTTTAGATTTGGGAGATGGAATCATTCATTTTTGCTCTGCTTGAGATTGTGCGCTTTGTTTGTTACATAATTTAAAGAAGTTCAAATAAACTTCAAGCAACTTTATGGGCATTTATTTTCATGAAAGGGAGGAAGACTATTCATATCAAAATCAAACCCTGAAGTTTGCGGCTGAACTTCTAAACCTGTTTCAAGCTCTTATTTTTTCACGCCCAAAACCCAAATTATTTAAATTCTTCAGCTATGTTTTCTTTTCCTTAGCTTTCATCGAGACTTCCAAGGTTTAAAATTTTGTATGACGAGATTTGGAATAAGAATTCAAGTAGTTTGTTTCCAAAAAATTATCATTTCTGAGCTTACGTCACAAGATTTCATCAAAATTAAAGAAAAATACTTTTTGATATTGAGTCAGCAATTTCTCCCCAATTACATCCAGAAAAAAAATTGATCGGAACTCACGCATTTGAATTGAAGGTGCTCTCAACTCAGAACTAAAAAAAATTGTTTTTCAAATCAGCTACTATCAACTACTCTTTTTTTGGCGAATTCACACATAAGTTAGTCTCAGCAACCCAATATGATTTTATCTGTCCAAAACAACCATCTATTTTACTGTGAAGTTATTGACTTATATGGTCAAAGTACAAGTGCGAAAAGCAAACTCCGGTGTATTTTTGGCTGAAATGATTCTCTCAATTGAAGTCTTGCAGTGTTGAAGTAATGCGAAAGGACTTATGGAGCAACATGTGGTGCAAATAACCATCACGGAGAACTAATTTTGTTCAATGCAGATGATGGAAGAAGTAGCTGATCAGGTTCAGATAGACTATCCTGAAATTCTCGGTTGCAACTTTGTGACCCAGCCAGTCGACGACTTCCTTTTTCCTTGAGTGGAAGTAGAATCAGCTGAAAACACAACGATTGATGAAGATGGAGTTTCAGAGCTTATCACCCCAGTAAGCAGCCCACCTAAAGAGTCACTGGCAATGGAAGCTAGAGCAGCTTTCCTTTTGATGAAAAACTTTCCAGAGTGTTACTTCTCGACAGCTCTGTAATTGAAGCTTTTGTAATTATTTGCTGCTAGATTTTTAGTTAACTTTTTTTGATAAAATCGTTTTCAGTTTTGAGGGGTAATAAGCGAGTGAAGGGCATTTTTTGGGTCGAGTTAATGATATTGTTTTTGAGTTGGCTGACAAGTGGACTTTTCGCTGAAATTTCATAGAAAATTTGAAGGGCGTTAGTAAATAGCTGTTCGTTGCTGGCATCAGATCTCGACTTCTTTGCGAATCGAAGCAAGTTTGTTGCTTGGTTCAAGCGAGGATTTTTGTGGTGCATCTCTTGTTTAAAAAAATTGCGATCGGTTCCAATTTATTTATGCATACAAGAAATTTCATAAATGCTATTATTAATTTGGAGCATGAAATTATTGAACTGATTGGTACCGCGACAACTCTCAAAAAAGACAAATCGCAACAAAAGACAACTCGCAAAGTTAAAAGAAAGCGACAACTCGCAAATTTTGAAGCTAATTTGGAAACTTTGTATTCTAGGTTTAAGGGGCTCTAAATTTCGTATAAAGTCCTACCCTCTGTCGGCAAGCTCGCCACTCGTTGGCGCGACTGAGGCGGTGAGTATATTGCAAACTGTCTTTGAATGCGAGTTGTCTTCCATTGCGAGTTGTCTTTTCTTGCGAGTTGTCTTATTTTTGAAAATGATTTAATGTAAAGAGTGAATTAGTTATGTAGTTTGAAAAAAAACCCAAACCACATAATTAGGCCATATGTTTTTGCGTGACCCTGGTTCCTGTTTTGAAAAAGGGTTCCTGGTTCCTGTATTGAAAAAAATTCGAAATTTTTTTCCCTCGAATTAAATAACTGGTTTTATGAGCTTATTGATTACACCAAGAAGCGTATTGATTACACTTTTTCCAATACAATTACCTTTTTTCTGTTACATTGCTTGCTTTGAACAGAATAAAATAAAACGAGGGAAATTCTTGCAATTCTGTAGCAACCTAACAACTTTTACTTCTCAATAAAAGGTTATGACATGGAAATTTATCAGATGTGTTATTGCACTTGATAAAAAGCAAGTGTCTTGTAATCAGGATTTAGACTTTTTCCCCTAAACAACTCTTCTTACAAATTTGCATCTTGTTTTTGCCAGTTTCCTTTGCACTTGGCCTAGAGGTAACGCCGTCGCCTCTGCACCCCTAGTTGTCTTATCGAGACATATAAACGTTTTGGTTCACCTAGTTTTTTTTTCAATTTTTTTGAATTGTTTTTTTTTTATATGATTGCGTTGTATCGCAAGTGCTGCGAAGCTCTGCTTCGCCTCGGTGTTCATTTAGAAAACTAAATAATTTGAAATTTTAGAAACGTGCGCTCTAGATGCTGCCAATTAAGATTTTGGAGAGAAACGGAAATTTGCTTTGCGGAGATTGAAAATTATTGAGATAGTCCCTCAGTTTCGGACAAATGCTGATCATTTGAGGTAAAAATTTTCATGAGCCTTAAAAATGACATGAAGTGTTTTAGTTTAATGCATTTACAGGTGTATATTTTATACGCCTCTGTGTAAAAGTTTCTATGAAAGCTTCTTTGTGCCACTGAAAAAATCTGATAATCAGTGATCAAAAACAGGACAGCTCAAGAAAGATACACCCAGTATTCATCGTTAAAATGTTAAATGCTGGAGTGATAAGTTAAATGCTAAGTTAGATGCTGGATCATAAAATATATTAAATGTAAAATTTGTTTATGTATTTAGCTCCATGATGGCTCCAAAACTGACATGGACCTGAATAAACAGTATTGGTTTCAGTTCGTTCAATCAAATTGAACAGAACTGGAACATTAGAAAATGGTATTTTTCGTGTTTTTGTCCGAGCCTTAGCTTACTCGAAAGGCTTTTTTCTTTTCAAATTTAATTTTGTTCAAATCTTTATTTAGTCATGAAGATGAATAAAGTTGATGTTTTTGAGATTTATATGCGGCTAACGTAAATTTTTAATGTTACCCTGACTCTGATTGGTCTATTCAGTGGAAGGAAAAAATAGTGGCGATTCGAGGTTTTTGCATAGCGATTAGCTTCTGTGGGCCTAGTTATAATTAGTACTCGGATAGAAATGTACTAGTGGAGCCGTTGGATTCCGCACAATTTGTTGACCTAGTTCAAAACGATAAGAACAGCTGACTAATGAAGAACAGTTCAGCAGAGCTCTAGCGTAGAGCCTTTAATTTAGTAATAGGTTGCGCTCATCTTACGAAACATAATCAGATTATAATTTAAAAAAAAACAGTGTGAATAAGCTTAGATATTCGCTAATCCAGGCAAGCAAGAACCAAAAAGAGCTCATTGCGAAAAAATTCAATTTCGAGAGCTTGAACATTCAAAACATTAACAAAACCAATACCATTAGAAACATATCGAGATAAGCGTTTCAGTGTACAGTGTTTGTGTCTCTGTTCTCTCTGCGTGAAATTTATTTTGTTTCTTATCTAAAGTCTTACCGCTACTAATTGTCAGTGCTGATTTAAATTATCCGAAACTTAAACGTTTGACTTGCAGCTTCAAACACGTTTTTTTTTCAAATTGAGTTAAGACTAGTCAAAAAGTGAAGTGAACAAATGATGCTTGGAATTTCACCAGAATTATCATGGTGCAATTTACTCTGCGAAACTCGCAACCAAATGTTTACCCCAAAACTAGGTTACTCTGGCTTTTTTTAAGTTAATACTGAGTTATGCTAAAACTACCAATTTATCCGATGAAAAGTCAAATCAAAAGTAGCCTCTCACACAGCCAAACAAAGTTCTGGATTGATCAAATGCTCCAAAATTTGCAAAAAACATTTGAAATTTGTTTTTAAGCAACTAATTTAAAATGACTTTTATATAGTAAGAATGACCTTTTTAAGTATGAAGCTCAACTATTTTCTCTTATACAGATTTTTGGAGATTTTACCCTTCTAGAACTTTATTGGGCTCTGTAAGGGACTTATTATGATAATATTTTCATCAACTAACTTGGTAGTTTTAATGTAATTCTTGATTAACTTCAAAAAAACTGGCTCCTTTTTGAGGTAAAATTGTGGTTGCAAATTTTGCAAAAGAACTGCACCATGATAATGTCGAAATTGTAGGCAGCTTTTATCTTATCTCTAATTTAAACTCAATTTAAGAAAAACGCGTATGAATTTTCCAATGTTTTTTTAATCGGTTAATTCAAATCAGCACTGGAAGGTGTGGTAGGCCAATATAGTAAAAAATGCCAGTTGCAAAAACAGTTTTTGTAAAAAAAAAACGGCTAAATAACCAAAAAATGAACATTTTTAATTTTCAAAAAGAAAGTTTTGTGGAAATGTTTTTAAGTTTTTGATTCCTAAAATGGCGCTAAAAACTCCAAAAACTAACTTTACTTGAGAAAAACTTAGTTTTCACGGCTCAAATTAAGCATAAAAAACTATTGTAAGCCTGCACATTCACCTTGTTAGCTCGAATTTAGAACAAAATTTCAAATTTTTAAACCCAAGTTTTTCGAAATTTATTAATGTTCTTCGAATGACCACTGAAAGGACTTTAATATGTTATGTTACTCGATTCTGATGATTATTTGTAGTACCTGAGTTTGCTTGAAAACAAAAAACACACGAATACAAAGTTCCTACCCATGTTCATTGGTCGGAGCAATTAGGCTGGCCAGTTGCTGTGTAAGTAGCGTGGAATGATCTGACGTTATTAATTTGAATAAAACAATTAGGGAATTAGATAATCTTAAATAGAATTCAAAAATTTTCAAAGTTTTCTCGAAATTGTTGTACTTCTAAGAGTAATGAACATAGTGAAGACTCTTATATAGGTCTTGCTGGTTTTTTTTGTTTTTTTTTTCCGGAAAAGTCTTAAAAGTATCTAATAACCACAGATGTGCATTCATACATATTGATGCATTTATGAATGCACTTAGGTAAATAAGCACTTTTTGAGTTCAATTGAAATTCATCTGCTGAAAGCCACTCTCCAAGTACGAACGTGGAAATGGCGCAAAAAAAACGTGAACGATTTATAGTTTCGAAAGTGGAATTTAATTTTTAGATTTCCAGCGGAATAAAACTTTACATATTGATCCAGTTTTCTATAGTTGGATTCATGTTAACAAAAAAGCGACAATCATAAATTGTTTTAGAAATTCAAAGAGCTTAAAGGGCATCTTTTTTTTGGAAATTTGAAAGTGGAGGTTTTTCAAGAAAGTCAGTGTTTTTTTGTTTACTTGCGTTCATTATTCTTTTCCAATCTTCGATTGGCTATGTTCTTCATTTTCCACTGTTTTGTCGATGTCGTAGGAGAGAAAAGGTTAGGTAACAAGCGGACAGCTTAAAGTATAAATACTTATTTTCATAGAAAACCACAGTAGTAACCGATGTGGAGTTCCGCCTCTCATTCAGTTCGTCGAATTAGAGTGAAAACGTAAAATTTCAGACCAGTTGTTCTCGACACTGAATTGCGAGCAGTAGAGCTTTAATTTAAACCCACCTATGGTCTTTTTTGATAAACTTGAAATCGAGCGGATAAAATCCACCCTGCGCCATAGTTTCTGGTAGTCATTTCGGACGTTCTGGGAACAACAAATCAGCGCCATGAATGGCTAACTGAAAAGCATAATAGACCGACAAATACACGCGAGATTGGTTCGTAGCGAATTCTGGTCCGGCATTGCTCATCATTGCTATTGAATTGGATCTTCTGTTCATCAAAATTTTTTTTGGAGAGTTGGGCAAACAGATAAGTTATGCGGCTCCTCTTAATTAAAAAAGGATTGGCAAAATAAAAAAATATAGCGACCGGTTGTATAATACCAGACAAGAGGGTGAGTTTCACAATGGTCGGCGAGACGATATAATTTCTTGCTGGGAATATATTTTTAATCCATTTTTTAGATCTTTGAATGTAACTTCAATCTTTGCACGCGATTGAAATGTCTTCAGCCAAGTCAGCTGTCAGGAAGAAGGAGGCGCCTCGAAATCTCTCCAGTGACCAGTTAAATGAAATACAGGAGGCTTTTGAGCTTTTTGATTCGGACAAAGATGGATCGATAAATTACCACGAATTTAAGGCACGTAAATTATTCATATTTTACGATGGGCAAATTTTGGTTTAAAATGTTAAAGAACAAGATGGTCATTTAATTTAGGTAGAAAGGCAATGGCAGATTCTTATTTAAAAAAAAAAGAGTTTAAATTTGAATCGAATGAGAAAAACACATTTTTCGCGGAAAAAAAACACAATGTAACTTTTAAAATGGAGTTGAGTTGTAAACTTTAATTTACGGCATTCAGATTCAGTGACGGCTTAAGGGGCGGGTTGGAAAATCATCCACCCTCTGGGAACCGACCCCTTGGTCAACCCAATGATCTGATCCCCTTTGGTTTTTATTTGTTGACTAACTTGCTGAATTGCGTGTTTTTCAAGGTAGCCATGAGTGCGTTGGGATTCATGAAGACCAAATCTGAGACACAACAGATCATGCAGAAGTACGACAAAGAAGCCACAGATGTGATCTCATTGGAGACGTTCACCGAGATTATGAAGGAGTTGATTCTAGCTCAGGACCCCAAAGAGGAGGTCCTGAAGGCCTTCCAGCTGTTCGACTCAGATGAAACGGGCAAGATCTCCTTCAAAAATTTGAAGCAGGTACTGATTTGTTAAAATTGTTAAACGAGTTCAAACAAACTAAATAGATTGAAAGGCAGTCGAGCTTAGTTAGTGAGTTAGTTAGCTTAGTTGAAGCCTACTATTCGTATTTTGTTTAGATCGTAGTTTCCTAGATTTGGTTGAGCAATCATATTTCAGCTTCTGATAAGTATTATTTAATAACTTCCTAAATATCTTCAAATGGGAGCCTAATGGAAATTGCGCGATTTAAACTGAAGTGTTTTGCTAGATTCTATTTTAAGTATAATTGTTGCATTTAGGTAGCTAGGGAGCTAGGAGATGAAATCAGTGAAGACGAGTTGAGAGCCATGATTGCCGAGTTTGACAAGGACCACGACGGGGAGATCTCACAGCAGGAGTTTCTAGACATCATCATGGGAAGCACCAACGACATTTGAATGGACAGTTGATGGAAGTAGTAAATAGTCAATAAGCCAACCTTAAGCATCAGCGAGATTAAGATAACACGTTCATTTATCATAGTTTTTCCTTCTGATTAGATTCTAAGTCCGTGATCTTGTAACATTACTGTTTTTTTTAAATCAAATTATAATTTTTTGAGTCACTTTTAACTAGTTCTGTAATTCTGGTCTGAATTCAGTATTGATAGATGTTGGCTTGTTGAATTGATTTACATGCTAAGAGGTGCAATAACGTGCTGCTTGGTTGAAGAGAAGTCTTCATTCTGTGTCAATGTTGTGTAATTTCTGTAAATAGTCTTCCAAATAATGATTTTCAGTTTAGACGTTATTTTACATTTTTTAATAAAAAAATTGAGAATCATATACTTTTTGGCTTTCACTTAATGACGCTATCGGATGAATTTAGTCTCTACATAGCATAGAAGTCAAAGACAAAAAACCGCTGGATATCGTATTGAAGCATTCTACGTCCTAATTTGAGCTGCAGTGAAAAATTTTCGGAAAGAAATCCCTGTCGAGAAAAAATGTTCAATTTAAGAATATTTTGGTGTGAATAGTGAGCGATGTAGTCGAGTCACAATAAAACGCAGGTCACACAAAATTTTGAAAAGACCATCAAATATTTTACAGGAAGCTGTTAAATGGTTAGCCGTTTAACTTTGTATTCGGGTGTTTTAGTTTTTTCTCTTTTGTTTTTTTTCGCGCAAAATTAGGTACCACAAATAATCATCGGACTGAGATAGATCATATTAAAGCCCTTTCAGTTGTGATTCGAACGCCATTAAAAAATTTTCCAGTGTCGAGAAAAACGGTTTCTAATTTTTGGTTTTTCGTCAAACTTTGACCAAATATAGAAGATAATTTGTTAAATTGGTCATTCAGGCTTAAAAAACTTGATTTTCCTAACGGAAATTAATTTTGAAAGCTATATTTGACGCTTCCCTGGCAAGAAATTAAATTTTTTTTAATTGATCAAAATTCGCTTTTTTTCATTCTTTTCTTTTTGAAGACAACTGTTGTCGATTAAGCCTACTTTACTACATTTTTACGCTTGTGTATAGTTTTATCATCTCACCGTGTACAAAAAAGACACTTATTTGAAGAACTTTATAGTTTGAAGAACATTAATTTGTAGTTTTTATGAGTATGGTCGGATCCTTGTATGCTACTTGCACAGCAACCAGCTATCCTTTTTGTTTCTTGCTTTTTTCACGAAATCAATATTTTGTTCCGAGCACTTTTCAAAGTGGGAACGAATTATGGCGTAGGGTTTTTTCGGACTTGCCTCAAAGAAAACGTTGGCCTGCGTGTCCGCTAATCCAAGTTTATTTTGCACAAAACAATAAAAAAAACAACCGATTCGATTTGAACAGTTCTGGAACAAAAAATAGCCGATTCTATTCTTAAGTTTGCTTGCAAAATATTTTTCGAATGCTTTTCATTGATTTGCAACATTTTTGATTAACAACACTAAAAGTGGCAACATTTTTTGTTAATTTCATAATTTTTTTTAACTTTTGAGTGCAGCCATCGGAAAATTGTTCAATTAACTTTGTACGAATGTTTCCATGAAATTATTTTAACGTTACAAGTATTTGCTGTCAAAAACTAAAAGAATGATTGCAGCGAAATGATCAAAAATAGTTATGAAGCCCATGAAAACACCTGTCTAACGGAATCTCTGAATCATTTTCTGAAATCTTTACTTTTGTCAACCAGCGGATTTTTCTAGTGCATGTCTGCGTTTTGAAAATTTGTATAATTCGTAGTTTGGTTTTTATTTTGGTTGTTAATTGCCAACTCCGGTTTCTAGTTTTTTTCAGTATTTTCTGTATTTTTGAAATTTTTCTGTATATAGAAAGTTTCGGATAATGTAATTTTGGCTCAGTGTCTTCATATTGCGTAAATTGAGGAGCGAAAAAAGTTTGTATGTGTGTGTCTGTGTGTGCGAGCGTGTGTGTGTTTGTTGGTGTTTTTAGGGGATGACCTCTTTATTCAGTTTTTTGCAAACTGTTTTTCGGCTCCACGGTTGTCAGTTCAAGAAATCTATCTATGTTTCGTAAGTTTTTTCCGTTGCTTTTTTAACATTCAGCATTTGTCTTACTTGCATATTTTTCTCGAAAATATTTTTGCTAAAGATAGTTGGAAATAGACATATAACAATTATGATAGGTTTAGTTTTTTTCGATATTTTAAAACTTTTTTCGACTCGCTGTTCGATTGTGAAAATTAAGTCTAACGCATGTGGATGGACAAAAAATTAGTCAAATACTTTCTGTGTGAGGAAGTTGGATGATAGCTTTTTGCCATATATGCCAAGCATGGAATCGCTTCAGTAGCATTTTTGATCTATGAAGATCAACCCGGGTATTCATGTTCGATTTGTCATAGTAGGTCTAATTTCAATTAAAGGTTGGAAAAATTTGTATCGGAAAGAGTCCAACCCTGATTGAACATATATTTTTTTTCAGGTTTACAGATTTATGATAGTTTAGCTCGAGAAATTCCGATATCATTATAAAATATGGTTCGTAGCACAAGGTCATCTGCAGTAACTTCGCTTGATGAGATTCCAGAAAACAAAAACGCTGACGACATATCTACGGAAAAGGAAGATGACGTGGAAGTTATTCCCCCAGAAGTTGTAGAATTGGATGCTAACGAAAAGTCAGAACCCATCCACCAAACGGAGATTGAAGCAGTCTCGATTTATAGCGAAAAAGGTAAACGAATTGAATAATAACTATTCTATTATTAGCTCAGCTTTTGAAGGGCTGTAAGAAAAGCTGATTAGTTTATATAGTGTTGCAATTAAGCTTCAAGTTCAGATTGTACTTTTTTTTAGTTCAGAGTGCATGCTAGAATAAATATATATTACGAAATTTGAGTTTTAAAAGTTGCCATTCTGAAAGCAAGTTTTTGGTTTTGCAACTGAGCTAAAAGTTTTCCTGTCTTGCATTTTGCCGTCCATTTTTGGGCTCTGTTAATATTGCCCTCCCATCCCAACTGTATTTTTCACCGTATGAAATTTAAATTAACAGACCGATGGTTTTGAATATAGCATCGGTTTTTTCGTGATCAATCCTAATAGTTTGTTGTCTTATTTATTAGGTTCCTCTGTTGGCGTGAAACAAAAAGCGCTTGAAATTGACCAATCAGAAGATAAAGAGGAAGAAAAAGGGAAGAAGCGGAAGAGACACCAGAGTAAGAGTAAGAGCAAGAAAAAAGGAGAGAAGAGTTCTTCCAAATCTTCTTCAAAGAAGGCCAAGAAAACAGAAGAAACTGCAGAAAAGTGCGAAGATAACGAGCCAGCGAAGCAAGGTCAGACATTCTGTCTAAAATTTCAAACTCACACATTGAGTGTATCTATAATTTGCATTTTTCGTTGCCTAGCCGACGTTTTATGTTGCCGGGATGTCTTGACATTACTTGGCAAATTTTATTAGCCCACAATTTCACTTGCGAGAGCAAGTGAATTGTAATTGGGATATAGAATTTTTCCCTCTAAACATCTTTTCTTACAATTTCTGCTGACATGTTCAATTTCTTGAAAATTCAATTTTAATTACCTCATAGCTCATTTGAAGTAGTACTTTTTGTAATTTTTACACAAGCAAAGCTTGTGTTATATTATGAACTATCTTTTTTTTCCAAACTAAGTCGCAAATATTGTTGCGATTAAGTGTGTTCATTTTGATCAATAATCAGCTATTAAGTACAGCCAATGCTAAGGATATTAACACAGACTATTATTGTTCCGACTTTCGTAACGAAAGTAACGTAATATTTGTGATCGGGGTGGTTTTTTTCTTCAGACAATTTTCGACTTTTTAACTAGCCATTTTTGACGGGATTTTTTAAAAAATCATTCAAAAAGTATTGTTGTCCTGAGCTTAAATTTGGAAAGATATTTCACCTGTGATAATTTTTCGTAAAGCTATGGGTGTTGAAAATTTGCCCTTTTGGCCAATTTGGGACAATTAACGCGGAATATATTTCGCGCTGTTAACGCGTAAGCGGAGATTTAATCCGTCATAGAAATCATTCCAAATTGGGTGAAGAAAGCTTATTTTCCATAAATTATTTGTTACTTGGAGCAAAATTTATCATTTTGTGCTTTATATGGCGTGTGGGGGGATGGTTTTCACAAAAATTCTCAAATTTAAAAAAATCATTTGATTGTTATTACATTTAATGTTTTCATGTTATTACTGCTCAACAGAGACTGCTCTATAAATTGAGGCATGTTAGTTGGTAATTTTTTTTCAAGTTGTCTGGTACTGCTAATGCGTCATAATTGGCGTGCGCCACTTAATTAATGCGTAGACTCGAAGTTTTACTCATTCAGTTTTTCCGAGTAGCGTTATTGGCCATATTTTTGCTTGTATATGCGAAGTGGTACGTTTTTCAAGCAGTTTTTTCCCAAAGCTTGGGGTTTTCAATTTTCGATTTAAACAGTTTATATTATAATTGAAGTTTCTTCTGTGGTTAGTAAATTTACCAACTTCCATTTTTATACTATAATGAAGTTTCTTCTGTGGTTAGTAAGTCTACCAACTTCGATTTTTTATATGATGCGTACATTCAAGGGCTAATTTAATAATGATTTTGAACCTAAGGCGCATTTAAAAGTTCTACTTTTAGCGGTAAATTTTGAACGGCAGGCATCTGTAGCAGTAAAATGTCATGTGCTTTAACATTTGATTTGTAAAAAGTCAACACAGTTGATGCATTGTTAATTCATCAAATGAACCGAAAAAAGTTATTCGTTTCTAACAGCATTTCAATGATAAAAAGCTCGATTTCAGAAATCTTCCAACTGAATGTATCTCGCAATTTTTTTGAAATGCATAATTCATACATAATTTATGTTTATGCTTTCCAATTTAATACATGCGAAATTGTGTCTTTTTGTATTTGGTGCCCCATTTGCAACATCGAATTGGTAATTTATTAGCACATGTAGCTTCGTTATTATTGGCTAGTTTTTTTGTGAATTTAAGCATCTGTGGCTGTGTGGTTAGTGCGTGAGACTCTAAAATGCAAGGTCGCAGATTCGAATCTGACGCGTAGCCGAGATTTTGCTAATTCGAGGCTTATTTCTACTTTTTCTTGTTTATGCTTTTTGCTCGTGTTCTAGCGAGTGTTTGCGAAGCACAGCTTCGCCTCTGTGTAAATCGAAATATAGGTTTTTTTTCTGGTCAACAACTTGTTCAACAGAACCAATGACTCATTTATACTGCAAATTAACTCTGCGACTTAAAGATAAGACATAAGACCTTTAAAATACAAACACGTTCAAAATTTGTCTTGTCTTTATTTTAAACGCCCTTTCTTTGTTTTTTTTTGTTGATTGATTCGATATAATCCATGATTCGATAACGTCCATGGCTGGGACAGTAAAGGGCCAGGGTTTGAATCCGGACAGGACCTGTTCTTTTGCAAACTAAAATTTTGCCGCTCCTAATTATAAGTGACGGTTTTTCGTAGGTGGATTTAATTCTGCTCTGCTTCGATGCCTCAGCACATACTTTTCTTGATATTTCAGCAGTTTTTTCACTATTGAACATCCTTTTAATGTTTTGCTGCAATGGTGTAGGTAATTTAAATTTAAATTGTGAATGGTTAATTTTTTTAACATCACTTTTAGGACCATTTGTTTGAAAAAGAAATTTTATCTTCAGTCGTAATCTTAGTCACAAAAAAGCAATAAATTTTCTTAATTAAAATTTTTACACTTGTCATAATCAAATCGTTGGTATTTAAAATAAAACTTTTTTCTCTCAAATGGTTTCTTCGCCTTGGTTGATATTGTCAAATAAGCTTTATGAATCATAAAAAACTTGCAGAATTACTATGTACCTCTTTGAATCCTTTGAAAATTTTTTGTAAATATAAAAGACGTCGCGATTTTCTGCAGTAAACTATTTTAGCGCCTGAACGCATATAGTTTCGTGTCACCTATGTAAAAACTTTGTTTTCCAGTTCAAGACGTGAGTGCAACAGCTGAAAATTGTACACCTAGTGTCATTGAACCCCAACCCATTGAAAACAATGCGAGTTTCCAGCCGCCGGTGGCTGAAAAATCTGCAGATAAGACAGAGAAAACAACATCATCAAGTTCAACTGGGCAAGCGAGGCTTGAAGGGAGAGAAGAGACTAAGAAATCAAGAGATCGAAGTCCGCAGCGTGAATCTGACAAGATTCGCACAGACAGAGAGCGGGACCGAGATCATAGGAACCGTCAACATCAGCGAGAGCGCGAACCAGAGAAGCCGGCCTTCAAAATAGTTCACGCGGGTACAGGAAGCTGGCAACATCTGAAGTACGAGAAACCAGCACCGACTCCATATGAAAGTGTAGCAGATGAAAAAACTATTTCTGAGAGGGAAAATACCGAAGCGCAGCAAAATGTAGTAGGATCGGAACCAGTAGTACCAGATCCGAATGCTCAACCAATATCATCATACCCGCCTAAACCAAATGAAAATTTACCTGATAATGATTACTTTTTGTCGCAACATGCGAAATATAACGAAGAAACGCAGCAAACTGAAACGACCATTACTATTCAGTGCAATGCTTCGAAGCAGTTTCAGAATCAAAGTCAAAACGGGTTTCAACCACCTTTGCCGCCCCCTCTCCCCGAAGAGGAACAGCAAATGTCTGAGAATTTCGACCTGCTGTTGGGTTTTGGAATGGACGAAGATGCGGCAAAGAAAGTTGACCTTTTGTTCACATGTAACTATCTCACAGAACCTTTGCCAGATGACCTGATTTTAGAGTTGGCCGAACTAGATTTCGAAAAAGTGGCTGCTTTGGTCGAAAGTTTCAAAAGTGCAGATTTGAGTAAGATCAGAAACAGACTGGTATTTTTCAAAGCTAGACTGAAACTGATTAAAATGAAAGGAATTAGTGCTCTTCCTGTTAAGAATTCAAGTTCGGCTAATGGAGTTAGTAGGCTAATTGGATACAGGCAAGACCCACAGGCTGTTAATAGTCATCAAGGTGGTTTTATTCATAGTGGTGTTGCTGAAAACGTATCGGGCCAGTCGACAGGTCTTTCGAACATCCAATCAGAAGCGCAGAAAATTGTGTCACAAGTAGCCCAGAATAGCTCAACTGTTGGAATTGCTCAGTCGCAGACATATACATATATGGCCATGCAAAAATTAGCCCAAGGCGGGGCTCAGAGTAATACCCAAAATCCACTGCCAGCTCAAAATGTCCAAAGTCAGCAAATTCCGCCTCCACAAGGAGCTCAAATATCAGCAGCGCCTGTTATGAATACTGTTCAAAATGGCGTCGGACAACAGATGCAACAAGCAGATCCGAATTCAATAGCTGCTAGTGCCGCCGCTGCTTCATACAACTACCCTCCGAATCCCTATCAAGACATGACAAGTGTGGCTCAAGGTCAAACTGGTCAGTACCCTGGTACAACCCAATACCCAGCCGGTCAGTATCCGGGTTATAACTATTACGGAAGCTACACTGCAAGTTACGGGTGGGGAAGCTCGGCCACACCTACAAATGCGGGTGGGGACGCAGGTGCTAAAAGCTACAATGGGTTGGGTTACAATAGTAGTAACGTTCCGGCATACTCTGGACCAGGTTATAGAACCGGACCTGATATGTCAAAAATGAATGAGATTTTACTGAGGACTGGTTACAATTACGAGCATAACCACGTGATCAGAAAATATGGACCTCCCCCAGACTGGGTCGGAGACCCCCCGGCAAGCGGACATGAGTTATTTGTGGGAAAAATTCCAACTGATTGTTGGGAAGACGAAGTCATTCCAATTTTCGAGCAGATCGGAAAAATTTACGAAGTTAAAATTTTGATAGACAAAGAAACAAATTTAAACAAAGGGTTCTGTTTTGTATGCATGTGTACAAAAGATGACGCGAAGAAAGCTATCAGCAGACTCAATGGTTCTTATATAAGACAGAGATGCAGAATATTTGTGAAGTACTCGGTGCAGTTTACACGACTGTTTGTAGGCGGAATTCCAAGGAATAAGTCGCGTGAAGAAATCTTCTCGGCGTTCCATGACGAAGTGCATAATCTCTCGGACGTTGAGGTGCTGGGAGGTGATGATGGTATGCAGAATAGAGGGTTCGCGTTTCTTGACTTCAAGACGTACTTTGATGCAGCTGTAGCTAGGTTAGATTTATTCAAAATGCATGTCGCTGTTTTTTAATGTAAGTTTCAGTCACCCATAAGTTTTGATAATCTTAAATTTTGGCGTAGTTCATTTAAATACTAATTACTTTGAAACTATGTGCTGTTTGAAGTGTTGATTCATCAAAAGTGGACATTTGGTTCCTTTTAGAACCAATTTGATCGGTTTATATATTGAAAAACATTCATGAAAAACATTTTACGTTACAAAACATTTTACAATGCAAAACATTCAAAGTATCTAAAGCTACTAAAAAGAATCCACTTGCCTATGATTTTGTCTAGCTATGGAAAGATGAAAAAAGCTTTTTCACAGGAAGCGACTACAAGCAGGGCGTGTATGTATTCGCACGTGGGGCAGGTACAGTAAGTTCGTGGTGGAGTGGGCAGTCCCGCTGGACAACCCGGACGAGGAGGCCAAGGAGCAGTCGAGGACTATTCTGGTGAAGAACCTCGGACAGGACACCACAGAGGGAGAGATGTACGCCACATTCCAGGGATATGGTATGCAGCAAACAAGTATTGGCCATAAAGTAATGGTATCGAACCCGTGTCAGACTCGCTTTTTAAAGGGAGGAGACTCCCAGAAGTATCGCTGGTTGTATTACCCATCATAAGCATCTTTAAGCAATTTGTTTACATGCTTAGAGAGTGAAGCTATTTAAAGTTATTGAATTGATATTTCCGCGCCAGTAGTACAGGTAGAAGTTAGCATGATTCATTTTACGATAGGGGGAGATGGTATGAATGTTTTGTTATTTACGTAATTTTGGAAAGTAGCAGAGGAGAGATGGTCAAAGTGTGTTTTGTTGTGTAGGTGCGATCAACAAGGTGTTCAAGCAGCAGCACTATGCCTTTGTGGAGTTCATGGATAGAGAGAGTTGTAACGTGGCCATAGAGGGCGAGAAGAAGAGGGGTGGCTATGAGTGCAGAATACACACTCCCATCCCAGGTCAGTCCATTTGCACATGTCGATTTTTTCTATTACACTTAAAAAGCCTTGAATTCTGCCTTGACTGAATAATACTGCCATGTCTGCCAATTGTCTTGGGTACCGCAGCACGTACTTTTATCTAAATTAAGCTATTGTGAGTAATTTATAAGGCTTCGTATTAAGAGTAAAGAGTGAAGTGTATTTTTGAGTTTTTTGTGGTTTTCACGAGGGCAATGTTTTTGTCCGGGTAAGCTTCTCTGGCCCATTTTTAAAAGTCGGCATTCGTAGCGAAGACTTCAATGTATGTCGTGATCAGTAGCGTGCCGATGGGGGGGGCGATCCCCCCTTAATTCTGAGTGCCAAATTTTTCCAAAGGGTCCCACCTTTGGTATAATTTTACGACATCTATGTTTTGCTAACCAACCTCAAAACTTGTTATTCATTGTAGAAGTATCAAAACGAATGGTGCAAATCATCAAAGAACGCACTGCTGAGAAAGATGCCTTGAATAACATGAGCGGAGGCAGCGGGGGAGGGATGGGCAACGGATATGGGGGAGGAGGAGGAATGGGCATGAGGGGAATGGGTGGGGGAGGAGGATACGGAAGACGTAGTGGGACCGGGGAAGGAGGGGCATATGGAAATAGAGTATCAGGCGGAAACAGTCAACCTCTCGGCCAAAATAGTTATACTAGTAACTCGAGTAACCAGAACGGCGGTGCCCAGTCGTACGACGCGTATAATCGGGGCTACTATGACGCACAGTACAGAGCACACTATGATGCGTATATGAACCAAGCGTCGGGCGGAGCTCCTCCGGCTAATTATAATAATTACCCGCCGCTGACCGGATACGGAAGCACGGCCACGCCATCTCCAGCGAACTTGCCGGCGAGTGGAGAGGCAGTGGTTACAAACGTACCAGAATCGTATAACAGGGATGTTCCTTATTAATATAAATAATAAGGTGTAGGTAATTTTTTTGTATTGTTCTGACCTGTGACTTTATTACGTACCGATTTCTCACAATGAAATCCGATGCATATATTAACAAGATTGACTAAGGTTCACCGCATATGACAAGAGTTGGCTTGAATATTTAAAACAGGAAAACAATATAATTATTTGTCATTGGTGTTGCAAATTAGAAATATGAAGCACAAATTGATGCAAGATTTTTTGAAATTGACTGTTTGTCACTAAGAAGTAAGTGGTTATCGAATCAGAATTTATTTGTCTAATAAGGAACATCCCTTGGCAGCAGTAACAATGCCCCTAACTCCTACTCCGATTCCTTTGTGAAAAGCAGTGGCAACGAGACCTCCGATCAGCCAGCCCTTGCAACTACTAATTTAAGCAGAGCCTCATCAGCAGCTGATTCCCAAATGCAAGACCTCAGCTCAAACCCACTCATTTCTCAAGGTCGTTACACTGAGCTATGAATAAACGCATCGACCTATTGAATCAAGACTGCTTCTAGAAAGCAACGAGCAAAACTTCTCAGATGATATGTTTTTATTACATTTAACTCTTTAAAATTCAGATTAGCATTTGATCACACAAACTTACAGGAGCTCTTTCTAGATTTTCAATGAGATTCAATGGAAACAGTCCGAACAAATGAATCATTAATCTGCCTAAATTTAATTCAGTTTAGTTGGTCGGAAAATGGTGATTTTGGCCACATTTTTAAATAGCAAAATCAAAATTTCAGTTGCAACTCATTGGTTAGTGAATTTTTAGTCGGGGAGCCTATTGAAATAGCTTTGTGGTCAAATGTTAAATTTTCGCTTTTATTAGACTCAATACCTTGTGCTATGCCCGGAGTGCCAATAGGCTCCGTCTCAGAGCCAACTGTGGCAAAAAGCAGCAACAGTCAAACTGAAGCGACCACTGACAAAGCGAAAGCAGCCGCGGAAGAATCGGCCAATCAGAGCAGTCTTTGGTGGAACTTCTAAATTCTGATAGGCTGGATGAGCGATTGATATCTTAGTTGCTGAGAGATTAACTTGCTTTGATTGGTTCTAATGTTCCACGAGTAACGATGATTTTCGATCGAGATTTTATGGATCTGGGCTCTAATCTCAAATCAAAACCATTTATTAGTCGAGGGGTTACTACTTGAGAGAACACGCAGTGCCGAGGATTTGTTTCAAAAAAATTTGTCAATCAATTATAAAAAGAAATTTAGAGGTCAGTTTTGTAATAACTTCCTCTTGAGCGACGTTCTCTTTCGTAGTAACCACGCTGCTTGTGGTTTTGGTTTTTCCAATATTAATGCCCGATTAAATCGATATATTGTTTGGGTCTGAACTTTCGCTTTCGGGAAATGTCATGGGATTGGAAACAACGATATACGAAAATGTTGGCCGTCTGTCCGCGAAGATTCCTGGAGTGTAGTGCAACCAACCTCTGCTCACTTTTGAACTGGTCTCGACATAAGTTAATGAATCTTTTGTTTTATTATTCAGAATCTTATCTCAATGAGGATCAATTACTTGGCGAAAAATCGCATCCTGATTCTTTTTGTAGCTTATTGTTTTCACCAGTGATTTTCTAAAAGTCTATAATGATAGACACCCTAGAAACATGAAAACATTATCAATTTTGCTCAATGGGTCAGTTTCTAATTTGAAAAAATGCAAAGTTTTTAATACAGACCACTTTCCTTGCTAAATTTGTGAAATGTAACCAATTATAAATGTCTTTTTGTGAAGAGGGATTTTGAAGTTTTTTAAGTCACATGGTTTTTTATGTTCAAATTTTTAACCCGCCCTCACACTCACGATGCGATTTGTTTTAGTGCGCCTGTTGATCCCATCAGGTAAGTCAGATTTAAATTTTGAATTAAATACTAAATTATAACCTTTAGTTCTCATGTTGCTTTTAAATATATCAATAAAATTTCTGAAGTTGTATTTTCTCATCGACGAAGTCTATTCTCATTAGAATTTTTTTGAAAAAAGTCATTGAAATATATTGGAAGTGGCTGCTATGCATCAAGAACCGTAGCTCAGAATGTGTTGCTTTGGGTGAGTGATAGATAAAAGTTGTGGAAAATAATTCAATACAAGCGTAGGTAAGCATAATTCACTCTTGACAAAATCACGTTTGTAATAGCATAAAAGACTGCAGATTATTGCGAAGCCCGAATGTTCCGACTGCTTTTGTGTCTGATGCAATTTTTTGCAAAAAAATCTTGAACTTGATAAAAGTGGAAATAAATCCAAACGATATGCCAAGTACAAAATGAAAAGTTTTGCATCTTAACGCAATATTTGGACGCAATAGCTCGTCTTAATTCAATCTGGAATGATTTCAGCCGAATCAGCTCAACTGCGCTACGCGTTAGCAGAAAATAAGACTTCTTGCGCAAATAAAGTATCACAATTTGACTGCTCTCAACCCATAAAACTTGAACGAAAAATTGGCGCAGAATAAATACATTTCCCATTTTTTATTCGCACAACTGCAAGAAAAACAGTTGACGGTGACACATCTCATATAAGCAATGATTTATTAAAGGTATCGAACAATTATCCACTGCAATAAATTGTTGAAAAGTCGAAGTTTGAAAAAATCACACCAAGAATTAGAATTCCATCTTTTCGAAAGTCAGACAAAAGAAAAACATTTCATGCACAAATGCCCAAAATTTCTCTAACAGCAGCCGAAAAAATCATAAACAGATTAAAACCGTATGCTTTCCTTTTAACAAAGTTTCAGTAGCAATGCAGATTTTTTGCCTTTTACTAAAATGAGCTAAAAGAACAATAATTTGGATTCTTTTTGTACCTTTTTATGATTTTTTTAAGAAAAATGTAGAATAATACTTCGCTATTTTTTTTCACTCAAATGGCAGACAGTTTATTCGCAGAAAATATGGCAAAGAGATGCTTACACGTATTTTAAACGGGATAATCTGAATAATTTTAGCTTTTTTTGCTAGCAGACGTGATAATAGTCAGCTAAACAACCGTGGCATTTGGCATCAATCTGTCAGTTATTGCGCGATTTCTGATTGTGTCAGATTATTTCATTCAATCGTAGGGTATTTAAATTAGCAGTTAGAATTTTCCGAGTCAGTAGTAACTGTCCTTAGAGCTCGTGAAAATTCTTCGACTCTGCATAAGTTTCGATGTTTAAATTAGAACTTAATTACAATTGTGCTGTAAAACTAAAAAACTTGATTCAAAGTCATCAAAAATGTATTTTTTCTGTGAATCACTTCCCAGAAAATTTAAAGGCTGTTATCTCATACTTTGTGGTCCTTCTATTGAGCAGCAGTTGAATAAAGTAATTTGAAAACATCTCAAAAAAAATTGATGAAAAAAAAAATTTTTAAAGTATTTTTGTGCATGAAAAATTTTGCCGCACTTGAAATTGTTCAAAAGAGTTTGTAAAAGAACAACTGTCTTTGAACAACATGGGTTAAAAAGGTAGATGTATTTCTAAGGTTAAATTTACAAAAAGTATCACAATTTGATGCAAAAGGTAGGAATTGCTTCACTGGAAAAAAAAGCAATTTGATAATCTATGGAAATTTCATTTTATGCTTTCAAAAAGTTCGTAAAATAATCACTCAAACCATATTTCTGCAGCATGTTCAGGTAACGCAAAGTTTTCATTAAAATATCTTCAAACTCTCAAAAACGAGGAGAAACAACGAACAGTCAAGAAAAATTATTTCAAAACTGAAATTTTAATTTTTTGGATTTAATTTTAGTTCGTTAATTTTGATAAAACGGCGTTTTTGCGGTAAATAGTCGATTTTCCCGTGCGCTTTTAAACCATATTTGATATTAATTATTTAAATCTTAAATGTCTCCCGTTTCAATGAAAGTATGTGGTTAAGTTTAAAAAGTCTCTTAAAGGTCCTTGAGTAAATCGTCACTTTTCTTTAAAAAATTACGTTGCTATTAAATTGAAAATGGGGACTATTTTTTTCTAACTAAAAATGACTTCTATTTTCTTCTTATTTTAAATTTTTTTTAATAGACAATTTCTGTTGGAACCTGCCAATGAATGTACCGAAAGTCTAATTAACGTAGCTAGATAAAAATCAATTTATAATTACAACATATTCATAGAGCATTTGAAATTTTTCACTATATCTATCATTTTGCTGGCACCCAATTCCAATGCTTATGTTTACGTTCATTTTTTGCTTTGCCTTAAAAAAAATTGGAAGCGCATTAGTAACCCTGTTGCAATAGCCCATTTTATGGGCAATCAGGTTCCACAAAAAAATGTACGAATTTCGTTGATACTTCATGTCTTTTTCTTTCATTTGCTATTCCAGCTGTCATGGATTGAAATTTTTATTTTTTTTCTTTGCTGAAAAGTAAGTTTCGTGTTGCAGACAAAACAGCAGCAATTTACTGCTAATCAAGTTAAGCATAAATAGACTGAAGCAGTGATTAGCAAAGCTCAATTAGATTGAAGGCAGCTAACATTTGAAGCATTAGTTCCCATCCTTCACTCTGCTGCAAAAAAGTGAAAGAATAAATGTTTTTTTTTTATGTTTGTGCGATGATACTGGTTTCGAATTCGAGTCTGACCAGGACCTTTTTTTAAACGAGAAACATTCTGTTTCAAATGAAATTTTCGGCCAACTATTTGTCTGCTTATCTGTTGTTGGCTTAGATGTCACATCTCAAAATTGTTTTTTTTTCTGCGCGCGTTTTTTATGCTGTTTTTTAATGTTTGATTTATGCCTATAGTTTGTAATTTTACATTCCTTGACTTCGTATATCCTTTTTTTTGTTTCGCTTATAAAAATCCTCAGCCCAAATTATTTTGGCTGATTTTCATTGGCCTAATGACCTAAATGTGGGTCGTTTCAAGATAAACAGCATTTTAAGACTCCCCTTCCCACTTTTCAGCTTGGCTGTATGTATACCTATTCGTTTAGTGAAGTTTCATTTTTTTTGCTTAGGAAATTTTTTCACTTT